GATATATATTTTTCCCTTTTTTTTTTTTCTTACAAAGGGGCACCTCGAAGTTTCAGCCTTGCGTGAATTTTTTTTTATTTTTTCTATTATTATTTTATTATTTTTTTTTTTGTCTTTTTTTTTATTATTTTTTTTTGCGTTTACCCTCCTTTCCATTTTATTCTCTCTTCTTTTTTGCTAAAAAATAATACATAGAATAAATCTAACACGCCAGGCGCATTCTGAGCGGCGAAAATGACAACACATGGTAGACCTACATGCACACTCTGCAAAGGAGATCATCATGTGATATCTTAGTAGACATTTCTTTTTATTTCAATTCCGAAGCATATAATTCTTTTTTATATTGCGAGTTCGTAGAGTGCCTTTCCTATTGCAGTTTTTCGCAGCCATTTTTATTAGTGTATTTTTTTTTTTTGTTTTATTTTTGATTATCATAAGGCGCGTTTGCGTACGCGGCGCGGCCGTATACTTTTGTGATCCATACATTTTCACGATATATTTTTTTTTTTGTATATTTTTGCATGTACGAATTACGAGACCCTTTTTTGTGTTACACAAACAAAGGGGAAGAATGTGTGCGTCGGCATTTTTGCAGTTCGTATTTTTTAGCGATTAATTTTTTTTTTTTTATTAAATACAGATATATGTAGATGTGTAGATACCAACATATGCTTGCATCGGACAGTCTGCATTGTAAACTTTTTTCTTTCTTCCATTTTTTCTCTTTTTTTTTCTCAAACACAAGGTTGTGATACTCGCCACCCTTCGCAAAGGCTGAATGCGACAGTGTGATTTTTTTTTTTTTTTTTTTTTTTTTTTTTTTTACACTGCTTGAACAGTTTTACTGCATTTCGTTCTGAGCGAATAGTTCTGCTTCATACATGACTATTCTACTTATGTCAAAAATACGTTTTTTTTCAGTTATAATTTTTTGTTTTTTTTTTTTTACTCAATTTCGTTGAAGCGGATTTTGCGTCTGGTACGTGTGGAGACCCCCATGTGGGACGTCGCCTATATATGCCTCCTAGAGTGCGAGCAACACCCCAAGGGCTCCGACCCTTTGTCCATAAATAGGGCCCCATTTCGAGGGTACACATATATATGTAAGTGTTTGTGCCCGCTCTTTTGCTTTTTCTGCGAAAAATTGTAATAGCTATGTGTTCACTTTGAGCAAATGATAAAGTGCACTTCCATGATAGAGTAGTATGATTTACTTACTCCTTGGGAGGGGCATTCATGTGAGCATACATGTGTATGTACACAAGAGATGCAACCACTTGTAGATGTATGCGCCCATATATACACACGTTTTATGTTGTTATAGTGTTTTGCAAGCTCGTGAATTGTTTCTTTTCCAATTTTTGTACACCAATTTTATTTCTCTGTTCTTTTTTTTTTTTTTTTTTTTTTTGATCATCCTTGCTCAAACGAAATAACCCCCCAAAATGAATAAAATTACGCTGGCTAATCGATATCACGACCGCATGTACCGTTACATGAACAACCAGCCAGTGGGGAAGGAAGAATTCACCTACTTTGATGGAAAGCAGGTGGATGTTAATTCTGTGGGTGAAGAAGCGTCTATCCCCAGCGGAACTAGTGTGGGAGATGAAAAAATGAATAGTACAAACATAGCAGGAGGTAAGACCAGCAGAAGAAGCGCAGACCAGGACGGCACCAACGACTATATAGCCAACGCCGGTTTAGACAGCAACAGAAGAAGTCGTGGTAAAAACAATGGCATGAGAAAATGCAACAATAACGATAAGGATAATGGCGCGTACAACAATGGCACTTCAAGTAGCTGCTCCAACAACATTTTTGAGGAACAAAAAACAGGTAGCACGTTGTCTGGGAAGAACAAGAAGAATGATCTGGTTAGCAGTTCCTATTGTGATGGCTTGGGAGGTAAAGCGGCGAACGACACGGGGCTGGGAATCCCCATCAAAGGAAACGATAACCATAACACCGTCGTGAGGGCTGTAAGCAGCGGGAATGCTGGCACGGATATTGTGGCCGATTCAACAATTGCGTCAGTGATGTCCTGTCATAAGACAAGGACAGACGATGTACGAAGCGGTAAAGTAGTCCCTAACTTTAGAGGTAGCATATATGGTGAAATGAATCTGGACGGGGGTATCAACTACCATTCAATAAGCTACGAAAGTATCGACAGACACGTGGACAACGGAGAGGATAAAAGCGCACAGGTGTTGAATGAACGAGCCTTTGAAGAAAGAGGGACTAACTTGGACGCAAATGATAATGCCAATTTGGAACATGCCTTTACCAATAATTTCAACCGAGCTCAGCTTCGGTTCAGTGACGAGATGGACGACCTCTGCAACATAAGACGATTTGTGAACAACACCAACAGCAACTTCGAAAAGTTGGAGCACTCTCTCACACCGTTTGATCAGTGTGCCAATCGGGGCACGCATGCAAATAGCGAAAAGGACGGCGATGGGGATGGTGGCAACGATGGCGATGGCGGTGATGACAATGAAAATGACGATGAGGAGGAGGACGTAAAAAAAGGCGGACTTCTTCTTAACATGCCAAGTTGCAGTTTTTCCACATATTACAAAAGTGACACTGTCGAGGGGGGGACCACGTCCAGCGATGTGAAGGAAGTGTCTCCTAACGTCGGCGCCGTGTATGACTGTGGAAATCCTTGTGGAGCAGAAAGGCGCTGTGTGAAGCAATGGAAGCGGGATTCACCAGTTACCGATAATAAGGGGAACACCTCAATCGACTGCGGCGATACGAGTGGGGAGGAAGAACTTGCGGGGAGCAGCAACGGGGAGATGTCTAGGTGCAACATAAGCGACATCGTGAACCAGAACAATAACGTCGGCATCGGCAAGGAGAGTAGTAATAGCGCCCACCGAAACAGCAGTGTCGGAAGCAAAAACAGAAAAGGTAATAGGGGAAACAGGAACAAGCAACAGAACAGGAAAGGTAGCAAAAGGAAGAACAGCACGAATAAGGCAGAGACGAGAGTCAAAGGCGCGCACTCTGAGGTTCGGGCAGATGAGAATGCCGCTAACGACGCTAACGACACTAACGATACCAACGACACGATTGACACTAACGATGCTAATGACTCAAATGACTCTAACCAGGCAAACAACGTTAACGGTCCATGCGCCCCACAAAGCGCCAACACAACGAGCGGTGCAAACAAAAAGGCCCAGAAGAACAGAGTGATGATAAACCAAAACAGCTTCCCTGCCCAGAACGACAGGAACAACTCCGTGCAAGCCCTCAGTGGGGTAGATGACCTGGTAAACTTGGCCACCATGCAAAATTGCGCCAACAGTAGTAGGGGCAGCCCTGTAGACAGTTCCAACGCGAGCACGATGAAGAGTGTGGCGGAAGATTTAGACCTGATTTTCTTTCGTGAAAACGAGGATCCCTTAGAGGAACATTATATGCTGTTGGAAGAAGATGATTATGGAGTTCAAAAGGGGGAGGAAAGGAGCGGAAAAAAGGACACCCTCGTTGAAAAAGACATTGCCATGGAAAAAGACATCGCTGGGTTGAACAACACTTTCAACATATTGAGGAATAACCTGTATCATATCTTTAGCGACTCGTGCGATGAGCAATGCAGTGACGAGTATCGTGTGGACAGTTTGGACGGCGACGCGGATAGAAGTAGGAACAGGGGTAGCGAAAATGTTAGTTTCGTGGACAAGCATAGGGGCGACACGCATAGAAGCGACATGCAGCAGGGTCCTATGCAGAGCGCATTGGGGCAAAAGGGACTGGCACAAATAGGCTTAACGGAGCGAAGCTTGATGGAACGGGGCTTCATTGAACGAGGCTTGATGGAACAGGGCTTGATGGAACACGAGTTGACGCAGCACGGGTTGGCTCAACGCGTCTTGACTAATCAGTGGTTCGCCACACAGCCCCCTCTGTATGAAGAGGATGCGGAGGAGGAAGACAGATTAGGAATTAATGACCTTCGCGGTGACAAAAGCGCATTCAGGGGCCAGCACCCTTTAAGCGACGCACCCTATAGCGGTTTACTACAGGCTCCATGTATGAGCAGCCTGATGGGCAATGTGCCCTACGCACCCAGTGTGAGGGAAATCGTACCCCACAACAGATACGGCCTGAGCAGCCTTTCCGGTGTAAACAGTATTGGCATGGTTAGCGACAATGTGATGAAGAATACAAATGGGCACAGCGCGAATGGAGCGCACCAATCTCCCTTCATCCACAACCATCATAATAGAACCAATTTGAGCGCAGCAGCGGGGAAGAATTGTGAAATGGAAGAAACGCACCAGAACAGTCGTCTCAATGGAAATGCGGTTAACGGAAAAGAAAATGGAAATAGCCATAGGTCCAAAAAAATAGGAAATGAAAATATGATTATTGAAAGACCCGTAACATTAAATAATTCTCAAATGTTAGAGGCATTCATGCAAGGAAGACTTTGCTTAAGTTGTGACTCGCTTGACCATCCCATGCCATTGTGTCCTAACAATTCTTTTGTCTGTCCTAACTGCCACAACATTTCCCATAGAGGAAACGATTGTCCCATGAAGTGCCGTTTTTGCCTCAAATACCATGTGGGTATATCCATCATGGACTGTTTAAAGAAGGCAAGAATACAGAGTGAAAAGAATTGTTCAAATGAAGAAAAGAACGAAACAAACAGAGTGGGAAAAAATGTGAAGAGTAACGAAGATAGAGTTAGTGTAGGACCCAGATTTGATATAACTACGAGGCCTGACAACTCCTATGGAAGAAGTGTATATGTATCGAATTTGACCGAAGACATAACCAATGTACAACTAAGAGATGCCATTAACAATAACTTAGAGAATGGGTACGTAGTAAATATTGACAGACAGGATGGATATGCATTTGTCGAGTTGTCTAATTTGAATTCTACTTTTCAGCTGGTGCAGAAATGTATTAACATAAATTTTAGGAAGTTAAAAATACAGTTTAAAAAAACAGGGCAATTTTTGATACCTGATAATTTGTCTTTAAACATGAATAATTTGGTTACCCTTGGTTTGCAACGAGGTGGAGCAGGGGGAGCTACCCTTGTGCAGAGCAATATGGGGAAGAACGCGACGAATGCTGCTATGTGTAGGAAGAACCCGTCTAATGGTGTGAATGGTAATGCGTTAAGCAGCGGAAGTGGTGCCACCAGTGGGAACGCTGTCGAGGTTTGTACCAAGTTGAGGTTGGTAGGAAGTAAGGGAGGAAGTAATAACTGCACAAATGGAGGCGCCATACCGGGCGATGGCAAGGGGAAATACGCGTGCAAGTCGACCAGTGCGAAGTGTCCGAAGGTTCAGCAGCAGAAGAAGCAACAGGGGAAGCAGACACAGGAGGGCCAACTGCAACCCCTGCAGATGATCCAACTAGCACAGACAACGGAATCGGCCCAGGCCGCGCAACCAACGCAGACAATGCAACTTGTAGAGTCAGCGCAATCCGTGCAGCAAAGGAAAAACAGGCACAAGGATAACCTCAAGCAAGGAAGAGCTGTGCACACTAACGGCGCCTCTTCCGTGGATAAGAACCCGAGCGTAATAGGTGCCATCCTGAGCCAAAAGAAAAGCAAACTGGTAGGTGAGAAGAACAACCAGGAGAAGGGAAGAAGGGGAAGGATATCCGATGGAACTCTTCCCACAATGAGCAACGGAGGTATAAGTTACGATACAGTCGGCGAGGCGGCCTCCTTTTTGTATGGGTTCAAAAATCCTCACAGTGTAGGAATTCCAAGTGCACAAGTGTTGAATTTGCCCAACGGCCACCTCTTATTAGCACAGCACCTGGATTGTGCCAAGATGGGAACAGTAGCAGAAGGACTGAATAGAAACTACTACGACTTCATATGCACCAATGGCCAAATGATGAAGACCATAAATGTAAATAATATGCCGCGCCTTCCTGCCCTGTGTAGCACTGGTGCTGGTAACGGTGCAAATGATATATACAAGAATGAGGTGGCTGATGTTGGCCTGCTTTACGAAGGAAGTAAAATACCCCTGAAAATGGCAAACGATATGAATGGAAAGAACGAACTACATAAAAGCATGACAACAGAGACGAACAAAACAACAGCTACCACCACAACCTCGTCGGACAATATGTTGAGCACGCAACTGTTCAATGGTGGTGTGTCCTCCCCCATGGGGAGAAGCTTGAACAAATTTGATGATATGATGAAGGAGACCCATCTGTCTACGGTGATGGAAGCCAGCGGGGGTGCCACCATGAACGAAAAATTGACCAGATGTTTGAATGCTTCTCTACAAGATGGGATGTTCACGGGTGGAACCATGTCCCTGAGTCACTTGGCCGACATGGATAGGCGGGGCAGCCAGTTTAGTGGCGGTGCTTACCTCGGCCCTTACAACGATCGCTTCACGCCTAATGTACATAACGACCACCGCTACCGCACCAACAGCGGCGACAACAATAACACCTGCCACAGCACTCACAACAGCAACGTGTCAGATGGCCGACCCAACATAGACCTAAAATCAATCGTGAATAACGCCATAGAAGTGAACCAGGACGTGTTAAATTATGACCAGGTCAGTTTTGCCAACGCGGCGGGGGAGGGTCTTCTCCACAATGACGTTCCTGCCTCGGCTGGTAGTGATGCGCCTGGTGCCTACACCCTTGGCAAGTGCGACGTTTCTGGCCCATGCCACTCCAACGAAAATTACACGGGGCAAAATAAAATGTACACTGATAAACAAGCCATAGTTGGTCCATACATGAATTTTGAGGCAAGCATGAATGGAAATAACATATGGAAGGATAGAAGCGGTGGTAGTGGTAGTGGCGTTAGTGGTGGCAACCAGCGTCACTCTCATTTGAAACATTCGTACAATAACATTTGCGACGATATGTTTTTTGCGAACCACGACATGTATGATGTATTTTCGCGCTTCAATGCGATAAAGGTGGATGACGACAGGGGAGGCAGCGGAAGGGGCAGTGGCAACGTTAGCGGCACGATTGGCGACGGGGTTGGCCACCCCTTCGCCGTGGGCACTAATCAGCACAACGACGGCTGCAATCAAAACACCAAATGTGGTCACAGCGCCGTGCACCAGGTGCCATCATTGCCAAATGAGGCAACGGATGGGAAGAACAAAATAAAGTTCGTAAACCTCAGCCCTAATACGTTTCAACAATTGAGCAACCTTCACGCCAAAGAAGACGTAGACCTTATGGACGACGACTCTTACGTGAGCAGCATGAAGTACAAAGAGCTAGATGCCATTGAGAAAGATTTGGAGAAGCACATCAAGGCTTTGTGGAACCTCCGCAAGATAAAGTTGGTGAAGACACACGATATTACACAACCACACAACGGATTTGTGTAGGCGCCGCGCGGAGTGCATCATCCACTGGCAGTTCCTCCACCTGTGAAGTCAGCTCCCGTCGCATTTGCATCGCGTTTGCATCGCAATAAAGCTTAGCAGCATGTGGCATGTAGTATATGTACATGTGTTTGTGTGTAATTGTGGGACCATGCTTTATCCACTTCCGGCACCCGTCACGCATATATTTGCAGACGTTTCTCACATGTACATACTTGGGGCCCCCCAAGAGCGCACTGCTAAAATGGTAACTCCTCGAGCCTTACCTATTTGAAATTTTTTTTTTTTTTTTTTTTTTTTTTCGTACATTGGTACAGTACAAGACTTGGAATGTTTAGCAACTTTTTTATGTCGCGTTGTGTAAAAATGGTATGTCAATTTATGTGCAATATTGTATTGAGGCGTTCACAGTTGCTCGTGGGCGTATAGAAAGGACCTATTTGGTGAAGGGGTCTGTGGGGAGTACATCTCCTATATAGGTCATAGGAAGCTTCTTCGTAAGGGGTGTCCTTTTGTACACCGCGAAAGAGAGGCGAACCTATTTTCCCAACTCATCGGTTTACCATACTTGCCATAAATAGCTTGCACATTTTGCATTTTGAGAAGGAGTGTATGTGCGGTTCCTATTGGAGCAATTCCGTTGGGAAGTTTTCTTTTTCATGTCAAAGTGCAAAGGTTTTATTTATTCGTTTAGGCGATGCACATTTGTGGTCAGAAGCGCTACACATGCCGCAAAGTGTAATGCATGCGCGCTTCGGGGACATATATGCCACAACAACGGGTGTTACATCGCATGACAATGTGAAGCGATCATATCAAGTAACGTCCCAAATTGGCGATGTTGCTGTTTCGGTACGGGGCCAAATAATAATTCAGCGCGGTGTATGCTCGGTTGCTATTATTTCTTTTTTTTTTTTTTTTTTTTTTTTTTTTTTTTTTTTGCTTTGTATCCTTTCAAGGATGGTACACTCGCGTAGAGGGGTTTATGTCATTTTATGGAATACACTTCATTTAGCGGGTTATCCATTCGAACGGGGAGGAGGTCGATTAATTACACAAGTAGGACTTTCCGCGGTGTTTCCGTTTCGTTGGTAATATACGTACATTTTGACCCCTTTGTTGCACGCTGCGCATTTTTTCGCATAATTACATACGTTACACGTGGCATGGCCTGCGGAATAGCCATTTGGTGTTTTCCCCTTTGGTGAGGCAAAAAAGAAAGGTGGAGGGACGAGGCAGGTACAGAAATGATGCGGGATCACCGCACATTTTGTTAAGGAGGGAGACGTTAATTCGGTAGGTGCCGATCATTTGCTGGTTCCATTTGGAGGGTTCATCCCCCACACACTCTGCTCTACACATTTCAGCCCAGAGGTGGAATACAAAAAAAGGTGCTGTTTGGGGGACCAATTTGCCAATTGACCACCACGGGGGAAGGGAGAGCACTGGGTGCTTGGTGCACAATTATAACATAGCGCTTCTTTTTTCCTCCACCGTGCTAAGGCGCCAAGATGAGTCTGTCGCGAGGCACCAAATGGGCGGTGAGCTTCACCAAGAGGAAGCAAACCAGATTCAGCACATTCCGAGGGTGGAAAAAAAAAGACAAATATGATGACCTAGAAAATAAACACCTTTACTGGTCCATCAATAACATGAAGAAGGAATTTCTGGAGGGAGAATCGAATGACAATTTTGTTGACTCTATCGAGAAGGACAAAATGGAAGAGCAAATTTCACACATAGTAGGGATTAACTCTTCCATTCCAAATAATAAGACCATAAATGAAGGCATGGAGAAATGTTTGCCAAGGGCAGGAAACAAAGGAGAGTATATTCCACACGACAAGTTGGAGAGGATAAGTCAGATTTTTAATCCAACATTAAAAATGTTTGTAGATAAAGAGGAGGGGGACGGTGATTTGTCGGTGAGATCTCTTCTGTTGAGAGGCTCCAAATGGGGGAAGCAACATTCCATCGGTTCGGAATTTCTCACAAATTCTCCCCCGGGGGGGGTCATAAAAAGGGGAGAAGAAGGAGAACGTGATATGCCCTCAAAACCTGCACCTTGTAAGGATGAGAAAGGGGCAAAAGTTGAGCACCCGGGGAGTGATGCGGCGTACACACATAGTAGCGACAACCTCGTGAGGGAAACTAAAAAAAGGGAAGTCACAAGTAGTGGGGCTGAAATAATCTCTGATGAGTTCGAGCAAAATTTGAGAAGCATCAACTTGCAGGTTAATAAACGTAACTGTGGAAGAGGGGGGAGAAATAAACAAAAGGGTGATGCAGCGGACATAAGCAAGGAGACCATCACTGAAGAGCAATACAACTTCCCTTGCAATGACCAAAATAAGGAAGACTCCATTTTCAACTATGAAAGTCTGAAGGGGAAGGGACTATACCAAGATTTAACACATGATGAATATCAACGCATGAATGACTTGTACATTAAAAAATGCGACGTGGACAGAAAAATTAGGTGGTTCAAAATGAGTAGTATTCTTAACCCCATTAAAGAAGCAAAGAGTATTGTTAATGCACAACGGTTGAGTGAGGACGAAAAGGGAAAGAAAAGGAAGAAGAATGTTCAGGGCGAGGACAGTATAGAAGAGGAAGAGTCAATTACCCAAGTGGGAAGCACAAAACGGATGGAAGAATTCCCCATTGAAGAAGATATCAAACCGTATTACCAAGAGGAAGGAAATTTCTCTCACAAAATAAAAAAAATGTGTGAGCAAAACCAGTATGATGAAATTGTGTCGAGAATTCGCATGAAAATAAGAACAGAAAAAATGGAAAATTCAAAAATAATGAAGGAGAAAATACAAAATGTAGCTAGGCATATTTTAGACCCGATAAAATATCATGTGAATAGAAGAAGAGTACGGACAGAAAAACTTTTACACAATCATTTGGAACAGTTACTAAATTGTAACAATGCGTATTTCCGATTTTATTTATTAAACGGTTTGTCCATTTCCATTCACCACTTGGACATGAAATCGACGAGATCTTTATGTAAAATTGTATATACATTATTAAATAAAAATGTTCATCATGATATGATAAAGGATAAGTTGGACAAAGTTGCTTTTGTTTTGAGGAAGTTACTAGCGAGAAAACTTCAGCTGGGATATACTCCCCCCTTGAAATTTGTTCCTTTACAAGACGAACACGAAAAAAAAATGAAAAATCTGCACTACTATAAATTGTACGCAAAATATAACTACCCCACTGTGGACACCTCGAATGCACTCCAGAAGGGAGCGCAGCTCATGGATTTTTACAGCAAAGATTTGGCCGGCTTTTGAGGCAATTTTAAGTCAGCTTCTATTTTTCCCTAGTTTGATGAGGCGGTGTAGAGGGCTATGTCGCCTTTGCAATAATGGGCACACGTACCTCTTCTGCTTCACAGATGGGTGTATCCCTTTTGGGGAGGTTTTTTTTCCGAGGGGGGGGAGGGATGGAATTGGTTGACAGAGTCAAACGTGGGGAGAAAAGCCCCTTTATATGCGTGAAGAGACCACCTTTGTGTGCATACCACAGAGCTCCACACCCGCGTGAATATTTGGAGGGCATTTTTGTTTTCTCCTCAAGACATGTGGTGATGAGCGGGGCAGACACCTTCCCCCTGTCCCTTGCTGCTGCTGCTGCTGCTGCTGTATTTCCTTGATGGGTGCTAATTTTACGCGCGCCATTGTTACAAGTGGAAAAGAAGGAAAAAAAAAATACACATATAAATATATTCAAGTACATACATTGTTGCGGGATTTACCCTCATTCGAAGGCTCCATTTGCATATCATACCACGTATGTGTTTGTTACCCGTGTGCACATTACTCTGGAGCGCCTTTTCCCCTAGCGCAGGAAGCTTTTTTATTTTCCATAATGCCTGTGCGCACATCAAATAATAAAGTGAAAATAGCAGCAGAGGGAGGATTTCTGGAAGATAATATACCTTTCACGCAATGAAGAAAATGCACTTAAACGGAACTCCACAACAATAGGCAGAAAGAATAAAATGAAGGGTAAAATAAAAAAAAAAAAAAATTGTCATAACGTGTGCTGTGCCTTTCGTCCATATGCGTATCTTTTTTATTTATTATATTTATTTTTTATTTATTTTTTTTTTTTAACTAGGCATTCTCATCACGCCTGCCCTGTCAATGGATTTGTCAAAGTAATTTGTTTTCCCCTTTTTTGGTAGAAAGTTTCATCATACAAATATATATTTGCATGATGCCTCTTTGGCCGTGTAGCCGTTTGGCCGTTTAGCGGAGAATGCGCAGGGGAGAACATCGCAAGCACATTAGCCACGTTTCCTCTGTGCCTCTCATTTTGTCACAACATGGCTTATACGTACATAAACCTCATAAGTACATAACATGTATATATATGTACAAGCACTTTTTGTGTCCTCGCGTAATGCCATATGTACAGGTCATTCTTCTGAGTGCAACGCGTGAAAAGCATTTTAGGGAGAACTCTGACCCCGTGCTAATGCATCGCGCTGCTAGCCTGCGTAAAACAACCCTGTTCCCTACGCATGGAATAATTTGGAAAAAAAGTCAAGGGGACATATTTTAAAGAATATATTTCTTTTGCTTTTTTTTTTTTTTTTTTTGGTGGATGCGCAAAAGAGGAAAATTCCCACCTTTAGTGAACATTCCAAAATGGAGAAAGAAAAGCTTTTGAATATTTTGGAAAGGGAACTGAAGGAATATGGAGGTAAGAAATGGGAACCCAGAGGGATTACCATATTGCGCTGTGATATGGGCAGCCTGTCGTTTGGGCGTACGCAACTGAGTTTGTGTAAGCGGTACACGCACCGGATGGGTGCAACCACACATGGCCGAACGCACACCCGCTTTTACACGCTACCCCTTTTCCCCCCCACCCGAATACGCTTCAGATGAAGAGATGCTGGTGCTGTACCACCAGTTTTACATGTCTGCGGAAGCAAACGATAGGAACATTGCGGAGAATGCGTTCAGCAAGTTGATTCACCAGATGAAGTAAGCCTATAATGAGGGGGGCTCCTTCTATAATAAGTGCGAGGCGTAGTGTGTAAGGCATATACACTAATGAGTGAAGCACCGATGTGATTACTCATAATTTGCTTTTCCATGTGTCCCTTTGGCAGGAGCTTCTTTGTCATTTATGACAAACGGAGCAAGGGAGACCTCATTGAAAAGGTGAAGAACTCGTTCAAGGAGGAGAGCAACGAAGTTAACATAATAGACGTGCAGCAGGGAGACGATGGCGATAAGGATGACTCGGGGGAGATGTACACAAGTGAAGCGAGCCACACAGATGAAGCGAGTCACATAGATGAAGCCAGTAACATGGATGAAGCCATTCCCACAAACGAAGGCAATTACCTAAACGAAGGCAATTGCCCAAATGAGGACAACCACTCAAATGACAGCACCATGGACGAGAGTGACCACGCGCCAGAGAAAAAGCACATCAGGAAAAAACAGTCCACAGAAGTAACCCTACCCAAATTCAGAAACCACTCTTCCTTTGTGAATTCCAATCTTTTCGAAAATATAAACATGGAAGAACAGCAGTGGGAAGTAGAAATTTTAGACTTGTACAAAATGAGCCTAGAAATAATAGGAAAGGAAGAAAAAGAGGAAAAAATAAATGAACGACATTTTTTCGATACCTTCCAATATTTCCTGAATTTATTATGTCTGTTATATTTTTTAAAAAATGTTTACTTTGATCTAAATTACAAGACGAATGAGAATTCCTACTCATTTTTATTCAAAGGATTTGAAGAGAGAAAAAACAAAGTGATAAATTATTTTTCTTTTTTAAAAAAAATAAGACTGCATAAATTATTGGACAATGAAGTGGTCAAAATATTTTGTAACTTTTTTCAGTATACTTATATTAATGAATATCTAATCAGAAACATATTTGACACGTCCATGAATACTTTTCTCTTCACTGCTGTCATGAATTTTAAAAATAATTATGTAGTACATGATGGGGAGGGCACGAGCACAAATGTGCCTTTAGCAGGGGAGAACGTCAATGTGCACACCTATTTAAACAAAGGTGGAGTCATAACTTCAGAGGGACTACTACCCGACTTCAGTGGGGTAAATACCCTCAGCGCAAATAATTTCACTGCTGATTTATCCTCAGTGAATGTGAAACAAGAAAATGGTGACCATCCCCCAAGTGAACTAAATGCTGACCAAAGCAATTGGAACGCTGCTATCCCAGTGGGGACAAGCCCAATGGAAGGAGAAATAATAAAAAAAGAATATAACATGAAGGAATCAAAACAAAACAATTCCTACACAAAAGAAGATTCTACGAACAAAAGGAATCAGGAAGATTATCTAAACAAAGAATTAAAAAACTTTTTTATATCAAATAATACCTTACCCAAGGGAAGCAAAAATTCCTTTGTACAAATTATTTACCAGAATGAAGTTGATCATGATATTTACTCAGACCAAACAATCAATGCTTTATTTTATTTTTTTAATAACCCATATTTAATTTTTTCCTTCCATAAAAATGTTTTATATTATATTGAAAAAAAAAGCAAAGACAAGGATTTCTTCCACTTACACAGAAATGCTCATGCGTTGATTAAATATCTCAACTATTGTGTAACCACGATGTCCAAAATCTTCCACATTTTTATTTGTGCTGGATTGTTTTTTAATGATAATATTTTCGAACAAGAAAGGAATAAATATTTAAATTTTTGTAGTTTGCTCAATTTTAATAATGTGCCTTTGGACCAAGCGGGTGATGATTACAGTGAATATAATCGAGCCAAGTACAGTGGCAGCGTGAGGAGCTCTTCTAGCTCGGCTGATGACCGAGGAAGGAACAGAAGAAGGGGAAGCTTCTCCACAGAAAGCAGCACCAGTAATACACTTCGGGAAAGCGGGTCTGATGTGGGGTCCACGGATAAGAGCGTCGGAAGGAGGTGCAGCAGCAGGACCAGGACCAGCACTACTACCTCTGCCACCACGGCCAGTGCAACTGACATGAGGGGTGGTGCCAATCTACAAGATTTCAACATTGTCAAATATTTGATAAAATACAGAAGCGTCGTTGGAAATTTCTGTCAAGATGACTTCAACCGCAAGGATAGCTTCGAGAGTGAAGGACAGATGAAGGATGTGTTGGACTCCAACTCATATGAGGGCGGCAGAGACGGGAGAAGGGCATACCATAGAGGAAGCTACAGTGGAGATAGTCTCAGCGACAGTGGGGGAACCTCCACCAATGGGGGGGGAAGCGGATACCAGGAGAGCAAGTACGAGGAGAGCGACAATGTGCACAGCGATTCGGGTAGCAGAAGCGGCAGCCAAGGAAGGGGCGGCAGTCGGGGTAATTCCCCAAGCAGCGATGACGAACGTAGTGATGATGAAGGTAGTGATGAGGAACGTAGTGATGACCAACGTAGTGATAGCCAATACAGTGATGGCCAACCCAAACGGGGCAAGAAAAAAACAAAGTCTAAAGGGTCACCAAATCGATTCATCACCAAGGACGGAATATATCAACACGAGTACACGAACAAAAATATCTTTAACGACATTTTGAGGAAAGCCAAAAAAAAAAAAAAGTTCTATCAAGTTATAAGCAATATAAACAAGCTGAAAAATTCATTTGACGTTAACAAGATAAATAAAAACAAAATGATCAATCTGGATTATGTAGAAAATGTCGACACCATATCGTACTTTATCAGTTTGTACAACTCGGATAATATATTTCAGTTCGATTATTACTTTTTAAAATTTATTACCGAGATAGCCACTACTTATAATAGCTACATGAAGGCATATTTAATTCCTTCGCAGAGGACTGCAAGGTATAGGAAAGACGAGTTGGAGAAAATGACAGATGAAATGGAATATTTCCTCAAAGAAATGACCAAATTGATTTATGTTTACACGTGGTGTATTCTGCACATATTTGGGCATTCCTACTCTTATGTGAAGTATGCAAAATATTTTTATCAAAAGAAATCCTTCTTCCTTTTGGAAAACAAAAAACAATGGGTGTTTAAAAACTTCAGTTATTTTGCGGGCGAATCGGGGACCCCCTTCCGCGGCAGTGGTGACGCGGATAAGGGGGAGGACGGTGCTGGGAAGCGTGACAGCTTGGGGAGTGAAATTAACCTAGTAAGCGGTGCCAACGTGGGACGAGGAATAAACATGGGAAGCGGCACCAATCAAGACATCCACATGAACCACTTCTTCAGCCCGCACCATGTGGTAGAAAACCTAAAGTACAATTATGAGCTAAAGAAGAATACAAACCAATTTAACAATATCAATTGCGCTGATCTGATACAGATTTACAAAAACTCCTACTTCCAGAACATTGTCGATAAGCTACACCTAAATTTGAAGTTCATAGAAAATATTCACTTCACGCTGAATAACGCACTGAAGAGTAAAAAAAAAAAAAAAAAAAATTTTTGCAATACCTGTGTGTAAAGGATCAAAAGTTGGAAGACATATGTAACTCCATAGACAATTTAAAAAGAAACATAAGCAAGTATAAGAGGACTTTTCACTACTGTTTAAATTTTAATAACATAAAAAATGTCATAGTCCTCACTTTGGAAGAAATGAGCATGAACTCGGATAAACTGGAACTGAACAAAATGCTCAATGAGTACCTTAACAAGCTAGAAAACCGAGGACAGATAAAGAAAAGGCAAAAAAAAATTAATGTGAAAATTATTGACAATAATATCGTCCTTGATACCAATCCGAGGAAGAAAAGAAGAAGACATGATGGAGGCAAAGGTTACAAAAAATATAACGCAAATGATATTATGGGTAAAAAAGGAGGAAGGAAAAATAGGAAAAGCTCCAGTGATCGGAATAGCAGCACTTCGAGTTTGTTTCTTCAAGTCCCAAATGGAAGGAACACAAAGACGAAAGATACAGCTATGAGTCCGAACGAGACCCATATCGAAAGCAACGCTGTTGTGAGGAAGGGACATAGGAAAGATGATAAGGACTTGCACAGTTTTACTGATAATGAGAATTACTACGATGGCGGGGACATAAATCAAAGTTGCACGAAGAGCGATTATAGCTCGAGGCACGCGAATAATGATAGTCATCGCGGTACGCATGGACACAGGGCGAACGGACATTCCACGAGGGACGCCACGCACGAAAGGGGGAGCAGGAGCCCCTATTACGACAGCACCATCAGCACGAGTAGCAGCGGGAGAGGCGACAGTGGCAGTGTTAGCAGTGGCAGCAGTGATCACGCGGCGCGAGCGCAGAAGAACCTGCATAGAGGTGTCAAGCGGAGAGAGAAGCGTAGAGCAGATAAGGGAACGCCACTGCGGGGGAAAAACAATCAAAACGAACAGAACGAATCGGGTGAAAACATCCTGATGATGAACGAGTACAACACAGAAAGGCTAGTTTTCTTTTTCAATTTGTTAAACGGAAATAATTTGTTTTACTACCTAGCACTTCACTACTTAGTAAAGAATGAAAAAATCATGGACATCCTCCATTTCTTCCCCCTCAAGTATCTCCTGGACTTACTCATCCTGTACGATTTGAAGGACTACATAAAGTTCAAAACGATTATCAGGGTGTTTAGAATTATATATGAATTTAAAGATTTTTGTCCCACGGTCCGGAACCATCTCTTTTTTAATAGAAAGAATTATTATCTGGACAACGCCGATTTTATGAATTTCGATTTTGTGTGTAAATTTTTAACCATCAGTAAGAAGGACCTCTTGGTGAAGAAGCAGATGGGTATTTATAGGACATCCCGGGGGGATACCTACGACGGTATATTCCTACCGCCCAGTGTGGTGAAGACAAATGAAGGGGGGGAAAATAACGCTATAGAGGAACGGGAGCATTCCTTTTCCGATGGGGAGAACACACAACAGAGAAGATCAATCAGGAAAAGAGAAAAAGGAAAGGAAAACGAAAAAGAAAAAAGTGTCACAGATAACCTTTTACATTATCTAAGAAACACCTTCTCCGTCCTTAACCTGAGGAATACAGTTAAAAGTTTTCCAACTTTGATGAAAAATTTACTCAACAGAATTTTAATAAGTATAATAGGAAAATATAGCTACCTAAGCAACGAACAGAGTCACAGGGAACATAAAAATATAACTTATTATGCGCTCCGATTTATCTTCAACAACTTAAAGAGTGTAACTCTGGGATATAGCAAGTCTTCTTTTTTCAATTACACCATTAATGACCCAACAGAACTTTATAACATGAGCATCCATAATTTTATCCTGTATCACATATACGAATTGGCTGTAGGAACGAAAGAATTGACCATCAAAAGCTCCTGCTTCAAATTGTTAAAGTATTTGCTAACAGAATATTATTACTACCCAGAGGTTTTTAATGAAAAGGCACATGAATTAATAAATTCAGATATAAAAATTAATAATTTGTTTGTAAAAAATGTCATTCTCGATTTTGTCTCCTTCAACATTATGATATGTCATCTCCAAAAAGAATTAACTTCAGATGTTAACGTCTTGAACCATCTGGACCTTTTCAATTACTCCATTAAATCAATTGCCAACTATTTAATAGGGTATAAAAATAATTCCATGTTTTTTCTCATGGATAAGAAGATGGTAAAATCTCTTCTCATCAAGTTAACCTTCATGATGCCATTCATTTATAAATTAAAAATTCCTGCATGTGTTGTTAGACTCTACATTCGAGTTATCAAATCATTGGACAAGGATATCCTAGACATGATTCACAATTTTAATAAGATAGAGCTCATATACGACAGCTTGTTCTATATCATCATACGCCATTTTATTTACTTCTTTTTGAATATGAATATTGAATTAGATGAGGAGGCCTCCAGCATTTTGCCTTCCACTTATAAGAGCGGATTTGCGAGGAATACCTATTATGGTGGTAGCCAAATTAGGGTAACCAACGAAGGGGATCAGCCAAGGGATGGCCAACCCAGCGAAAACAAGAGCGACAATGGGGACTTTTTTGACAATTTGGAGGAAGAAGATGAGGGTGAAAAACACGAAGTGAGAGGACAGTCACCACAGGGAAATAAGAGGTACCTCACCGTGGAGGACGCGTACGGTCAACAGGAGCAGGAGCAACACTCCAGCGACAGCGAGGGGGAGGTCGACCATTCCAGTTCGGAGCACTCCGGTGGAGCGGACAGCGGCGCTAACACTGAAGGGGGCAGAAGCGGAACTGTTAGTGGTGACGATAGCGCGAGTAGATCCGGCGGAGCTAACTCTGGCCGGAGTACCCCGAGTGATAGCGACGGAGAAGAACGTGGAAGCGCTTTGCACTACGCCGCCGAAGGGATGGAAAACCCATGCAACGCAAACAGCATGTCAGATGTCCAGTACCTCCGAAAAATCATAAGCGAAAACGGAACCTTCAATTTGGAAAATAACTACTTTATTAATTACTCCCTGTACATCCTTCACAAGGAGCACTATTCTATATACGTTTTTTTTTCCTCCTTTTTTAAAAATGTGCTCAAGGAGTATAGGGAGATATCGCGTGGACGCTCATGAGCGATCATCCGCGTGGGCAGACCCACGTGCATTATTCGTGAAATAAAATGGAGGTGTCTGCCACTTGTGTGTGTTCCTCAAATGGCAATCACGCCATTAGCCCCAACGAGACCACACAAAGAAAAGAGAAACGGAAATGGTAAAAGAATAAGCATGTAAATATGAACAAAATTTAAAGAGAAATACTATTCCTTTTTACGCAAATTCGATGAAATTTTTTTTTTTTTTTTTGTCGATAAACTTTCAACTCCATCTGCTGCAGCTTTTGCTGTGCGCATTTATTAGTTGGCCCTAAAACAGGATGAATGTGTTTTGGCTAAAATCGGGGATTCAACGGAAGGCCCTCAGTATTTTTTTTTTTTTTTTTTTTCCAGCCCCTCACATTTTTGCCGCGCCAAAGGGCACATTATTTGTGGGACATCCACTCACTTATCCCAATACACCAATTTGTTCGCATACATTTCGACCCCTTGCGTGGTTGGAAGGTTACTTTTACAATTTGCGCCATTTGCCATATTGGCAGTGGAAATAATAGGGTTACGCTTTTAAAACGCCCAATAGTAAAGGAGGGAGCAAAGCAACCCGCGGAATAGCGTTTAAAAAGGGAACAACATAAAAGCGTAAAAACATGCCCCGACCTGTTAGGGACAAATTGGGTGAACAAAAAAAGGTACTATACCCATCTGCATTAGTGTTTATACATTTACGTAATTATATACAAGCGTGATTCCCTGTTACCTCTCCATTGCAACATTTGTGTGCTCCGTGGGCAGGGCTAAGATGGGACATTCTTCCAAGGGCATCCGCTGCCCGCCCTCTTACCAGATCAACCGCAAAGGAGTTCCTAAATAGAAGGCCCAATTCGACTTAGGCTGTGTACTGCTTTAAAAAGTATGCAACGCCTGTGCAAACAGTAGCAAGTAGCAGTGAGCGAGCGAACCATTAACAGCTAACCGAAGTAAACACCCAGCGCGTACCTGCTCTCACACCACCCCTATCAGAAGGGGCATATGCGCTTGTGTAACGTTCCCCTACGCCCCCAACGTTGGTAATTTCGTTTACATTCATGCGAAGTGGTTAAAATGTTTGGAGACGACCAGAATGCCAATAACTACTACCCAACGAAGTTGGGCATAGATAGACCCGCCGTTGATTTCAATGCATCAAGTAAGTCAAACGTGTCATTACCCCCCCCTAACCCCCTGTGCATGAACGCATATATGAGTGAATAACTCGTATAGTGCACGGAAAAGACGAAGGGGAGTGTATACACTATGCCACTATCACCCCTCCCCTCTTAATGCCTCGTAAAATACGTTACATGCTTCATAGTGACATCACAATGCGCAAGTAGCAATGATATTCACCCGTATGACATATTTTCCCCCTCCCCCATATATTTGCCCAGTTTGTAATTTCCTCAAAAGCGACATATATAAGAGAAAGTTCGAGCGCAAGTTGTACCCAAATCATCCCATTTTTTCTAGAAGAGTTAGGCCCCTCTTCTGCTACAGCAACATGATAGATAGGCACGATGGTGTGCTGTCCCATTTAGCATACTCTTGCTTAAATAAAAGTAAGGGAATGATTGTAAGTTTGAAATGGTTTAATGATGGGAAGAGATTACTAACAGGAACGCAATTGAGTGAACTAGCCATTTGGAATGGACTCTATTTCAATTTCGAAGATATAAAAAGGATACCCATAGGAGGTGGGTCCGTGTCCTGTCTAGAGTGGTCCAAAAATGATAACCTCTTTGCAGGAAATTCATTAGGACAAATAGTAATTTTATCATCGGCTCTAAATCTGCTGGATAATTATGCATTTGAAGGATTAACAAAATGTGTTCTAGACATTAGCCTATCATGTTGTAACACCAAATTGGCTGGTTGTGCTGATACATGCAATCCCATAATTTGGGACATAAAAACAAGAAAAATTATAAAAGATTTAAAATGCAAAAATGTAGATACAAATAATATTAGCTGTTTGTCATGGAACCCAGTTAACGAAATAATAGCTAGCGGAAATAGAACACAAACTATTTCCTTTTGGGACGTCAGAATCACTAAACCAATTATTTCTCTCAATGCACATAAAGCTAATGTAAATAAAATAAAATGGAATCATGATGGTACTTATTTGCTGAGCTGTAGTAGAGATAGTTTAATAAAACTTTGGGACATTCGAAATTTTAAATTATTGTACTCGTACAAGAGTGATCAGAATTTGGGTACAAGATTTGGCTTAAATTATGAACCCACGTACGTAACTTGGAATCCTATGCAGAATCACATTTTCGCTAGCTCCGATAATAGAGGCAATATTAAATTTTACACCACGAATGACAATAAATGCGTTCAAACTATTTCTTCTGCACATGGGATTGATAAACCGTCTTTCATCACCTTGCTGGATTGGAACCCCCTTGGTCATATCCTCACCTCCTTTGGGGATGACAAAATGTTAAAGTTCTGGTCTGCCTCAAACTGTGATTCCATTATTGCAAAGGAAATAGATGCAAGGCCGCTTGTTAGTATCACCAACAGCGGCTCTTTTCCCAACTCCAGATACATCAATGACGAAAATGTGGTGGACGTCAGCAGTGATCAATCCATTACGGACTCGGAAGAAGAGGGTTACAAGTTTTGCAAATTGAATAACAACTATTACAGGAAGATTGGTCACCCGCGGAAGAGGAAGCGGAAGGGAAAAAAGCGACGCATGGTTGCGGGGTGAACTGTTCGACGCGTGGGGTACGCAGTTCAGCACTTAGCCAACGATCTGCCTACCTTAGGTCATCGCCCACTTAGTGGGACAAGCGCGCGTCGACAGCAGCCACACCGCGTAGAAGGAATATATGTGCATCGTATCCAGCAAATATGGAATAGGAATGTGTCGCCTCTCTTGATATCCATTTTTTTTTTTTTTTGTTTTTGAAGTGTCCTCTTTATATGTTCCCCCATTTACTAACCACCCGGGGGGGAAAGGAAAAAAAAAAAAAATTCGCCACTTCGGTTTAAAAAACGACCGAATTTTGTTCATGATCTTTTTAACCTTTCCAAGTTTGTTTCTTCAATTTTGCCAGACTCAGCTACATAGGTGGATGGCCCATGTGTGGTCATCCCTAAATGTGCGTGTGCCGTCTTTGCCTTGGCGCACGTGTTCGTACGTACCCGCTACTGTTCATAGGATGTTTTTTTTTCTCTCATTCCAATGCGTCTCCAGCCGAACTTACAAAACGCACTCATGTGAATTCCCCCCGAATGGACAACACCCTGCTGTTTGTTAGAATGTCTTCAACGCTTCGCCCCTCCTGCACTTGGCCATATTCGCGCTCCGAACTCCACTTGAAAGATTTATTTTTCTTCACAAGCAACTCAGTTACGCCTTTCTCGAACGTATCCGTGTGATATAAGAAATGTTGCGTAATTTTAAAGTCGTTGTCTAGTACCTCCTCCAAGGGTTTAACGTAATTGTAAAGGAAATACTCAAACCATAACTTACCACTGGAGTAGCAATTCTGGTTTATAGCATCAAGGGTCTGCTTACAAAAGGGATTGTCATCCTGGTCCTTTTTTAATCCGCTAACAAGATCTTCTAGACTAGTAGCCAAACTGTAGTACTTCTCAATGTCGCTAATCATTTGTTGCGTTAGTACCGGTTTTGTGTCCGTAGTGATTTGGGGCGGGTACTTATCTAACACCCTGGCAAGTCCCGCATCGAACTCATTCTGGTTTTCCTTACCGATGCTGTAAATATCGTTCAGCAGTGCATCTACATGTTCTACATAGTTGGTGCATATTTTAAAGTTGACTAAATCGACTTCGTTTAATCGTAGGGATGTCAACCCTAGATGGAGACCAATGTTCCTTCCAAAATATTTTTTAAAAAAGTAGCAGCAACCGATATCAGGGAAAAAGCCAATTTTATTTTCTGGCATAGCATATACGGTTTTCTTATTTATTATTCTAAATTTTGCATACATAGAAATCCCTAACCCTCCCCCCATAGCATAACCATTCCATATGCACAGGACGGGTTTTTTCATGTTGGATAAAAAGTTTATGTACATGTAAAGTTGTTTCAAATGTTGCATTCCTTTTTCTTTATTTTGGACAATGTCCTTGACATCAGAACCTGAGCAGAAGCATGTCGTGTTGCTGCTTTTAATCACAATAATGCGACACCTATCATCGTTGTTTAAACTTTTCACAATGTTTAACAATCCATTAATCATGTCTTTGTTAATTGCATTTAGCTTTTCTGGCCTGTTTAAAATAATTTCGAATACGCCATTTTTGAAATTTAGAATGAGCGTTTTTTTGGACCACAGTTCGGACAGTTCTAGGTCTATGACTGGGGGGATGGGGTCACTATTTTGGTTTGTCCCCCTTCGGCTGGCCACTTTGTCCTCATCCCCATGGTTCAGAAGTGCCTCTTCTTGTGTGTTTTCCGCGTTCGCCGCATTTTCCACGTTCGCAGCATTTTCCGCTTGTCCCCCTTTTACAGAATCGAATTTGGCTGCTTTTTCACTGGACACACTTTGCTTCTTCAAATGAAACGTTTTGCTATTTTTTTTTTCCATTTTTTCAAAAAATATTTCATTTCCTCCTTTTCCATCGACGGAACAGTTGTTTCTTGCTTGGCTGAAGAAGCTGCTGATTTGTCTCCTTTCGTAAAAGGGAGTGCCCTTCCATTCCCTCTGTGGGTTCCCTGTTTGGGCAGACAAATGGCTTGTACAAAAATGGGGAACACAAAAAAAGGAGCGCACCCTCAAAGGCTTGACTACATAATGGTGAAAGGCCCGTCTTCCGCGCTTGGCTTCTCCCAGATGGAGTCTCGAGCCTAATTTTTGCATACCTGCGTTGTGGGAGGGCGGAACCGGCGGGGTGTACCTTCGCTACACAACACGTATGTGTTTGTGAATACTTGGCAATGCTCCCAACTGCACCTGTAGCACCTGCATGCGCTTATGTTGTCAATTATTTATCCCCTTTTTTTTTTGTTTTTTTTGAAGACGTTCAAAATTGCGGAGAGACCAAATTAGAGGAATGCTACACAAGGTTGTGGAACAGGGTGAGGGCCATAAAATATTCATATGTTGCCATTTCAAGTGTGGAACTTGCAAAGCTATGTGCAGATGAAAAAAAAGGTACCAATTACAAATGAGAAATGAGAGGACGTGAAATTACAAGATGAATTTAATCGAAATGGAAAAAACTTTCCATGTTGTTACGTTCGTCCAGTCGATTTTTTACAAAGCAGTGTGGCTCAAAAGGTGAAACTTTTTTTTTTTTTTTTACCTCCCCCCGCCGCATTTGTCATTAAAAAAATATACGTGTTGCTCTCAACGTTGCGAAAAAAAAAAAAAAAAAAAAAAAAAAGTTGCTGTTTGGATTACAAAATTGCCCTACTCTTTTGCTGATTTTCATTTTAAATAAATTTGTTGCCACAATTTTCTTTTTCTTACCCTTTTTAGGACGTTTTTTTTTTCTACGTTTAAAAGTAGTTCCCTATTGCAAGTTGCCTGATGATTATTTTTTTTTTTTTAACAACTGCATTTGGGAGAACCATCACGCCCCATTACTTATGGATTGTATTTTCCCACGGATATGAATCCAGTGCGAAAAATAGAAACATATAAACTAAACAGAGCAAAAAAGGACCACCCATTTTGTGCCCCATTTGAGAATTCCCTCTTTGACGTTGAAGACTTAACCCCCCGTTTTTTCTTTTTTAAGCCCCATTTGGTTAACCAATTTAATGCTTTTTTATCTTGATTGGAGGGAGACTCTGCATTTCCTTCCATTCCGTTGAGTTTTTTTTTTTTGTTTCTCACCCCTCTGCTGGCCGCGACAAGAAATTCCCCACGGGAAAAAAAAAAGTCCTATCCCTTTGGGTCACTGCATTAAGACCATCCCTCATACAAACCGGGTGAAGAAGATTGGACGCGCTGGATTTTTGAATCAAGTGAATCTTCTAATACATTTGTTACTGGAGTGAAATCTGGCAAAGCCTCCTTACGTCTTTCACCGTAGATAAGAAGTAAAAGAATCTACACGCAAAGCCGAAGAGACAGCAACAAAAAAAAAGGCGTATTTCGTCCTCACCAATGTGGACAAAATGATGCGCTCCATTTAGCCACACGTTAGGTGCGCACATACAGCTCAGGTGTATACCACGAATAGGGGATGCACCATTTAAGGGGGCCAAAGTGGAAAAGGATAAACCATTTGCCCCGCTAATTAGGGGAGGAAGCACCCAAAGGATAATCTCCGTTTTGTTTTGTTTTTTAACGCCCATTTATTCATCCTTATCGCGTAAAAAATGAACACGAATGAGTGGAACACCATTGACAACACCCACTATGGGAAGCAGAAGCTGAGTAGCATGTTGTGGAGCGGAGAAGATGTGCTGCGGGATGGTGTAGCATGTTCAGGGCACCTCGGGCTGATTGCCGTTTTGCGGAACAAAGACAAAGTCGACGTTTACAAAAAGGAAGATAATTTAAAAATCTACACCAACATTGGAAGGCTAATATCCAGCTGCAAATTAAATTCGGATGGGTTAATCTGCTTTGGCTGGAACAAAAACAATGATCTGGTTTTTCTATTTAAGGATAACATCGTGAGGGTATACTCCTGCTTTTGCGAAAAAATTTTTGTTTTTTCTCTCGATGAGAGTATAAAAAATGAAGGGATTTTGTACGGATCTATTTGTGAGGAAGGAATAATTATAATCACAGAGCGATTGAATGTTTTTGTCAATTATTACTTTAATGGAAATAATTGTGTTAGATATCCCTCTGTGGACTTGAAGGGGAAGCCAAATTGTGTATGCTCCGTGGAAGAGGAACACGTGAAGGATGAACTCAACATCGAACACAACTACTTTGATAGCAGACCCAATAATGACCTGCTCAGGCTGAATATTAAAAATTATATTACCAACCCATTTGATAGTAAGAAGGATAATGAGAGTGAGGGGGTGAAGACAAAGAATAATACACTCACGGAATGTAGTGAAAATTATAATGATGATTATGGATGTAGTGATAACATGTCGGTGTCGTCCAACAACGGGGGGGTAAAGAAAAAAGCAAAAAGAACTCTCATGAAAATATCTGCTTACGATTTGAATAAAAAGGAAGACACAAAAAAAATCTCAAAGAATAATGCTACTTCGAAGAAGAAGAAAGAAGAAACAGAGTTGAACATACACCTCATAATTTGCCTATGCAACGGTGGGTTTGTGCTGATGAATAAACATCGCTCAAAATTTTACGACACAGATAGTTTATCGCCCTATGTGAATATGTGTCTTTCCAAGTCGGGCACCATTTTAGCCTTTCTCTCAGATAGCGGGGTCATCAAAATATTTTTAACAAAAAATTTAAATAAATGCATAGAGGAAACAATTTTGGATGGAAAAAAAAGTATCAAGCAGATCGTGTGGTGTGGAGATGACTGTCTAGCTGTGTACACGCCGATGATAACACCATCGAACTATATTCAACATATGCTTTTTGTTGGGGGACCAAAAAATCAATGGATTCCCTACCAGTACAGAAGCGATTTATTTCTTATAGGAGATATCTATGGGGTAAAAATTATAAGCAAAGAGAATTGTGAATACATTAGCCGCATTAGAAAATCCACATTCAACATTTTCAGCATCGGTAGCTGCACACCATCTGCAATGCTTTTTTATTCATATGAAAAGTACAAGAATGGGAACATTTGTTTGGATGATGAGATAAGAGCTTTTAATAATAATCTTCATGTAGCCATTGATGAATGTTTAAATGCAGCTACACATGAATATAGCGAAAGCGTTATTAATCTGCTTCTTCAAACCTCTCAATTTGGAAAAAACTTTATGAAATCCAATTATGATTGCAAGAAGTTTTTATTAACTTGTTTATACTTGCGCATTTGTATGAATGTTCGAAGACCGCCATTGGATATTTTCCTCACAGCCTCAGAATTACAATACATAAGCATTCCATCCTTTGTGAAATATATTGCTAAAAGGAAAGAGTACCTTCTGGCTTATCGCATTTGTGAATATGCAGGTATTAAAACGGACAGAATATTGATCGAATGGTGTAAGGAAAAAATTGAAAAGTCCATCGAATTGACAGATGAACAACTGTGTACAGCGATAACGGGCAAAATTGGGAACAAGAAAAATATGGATTATTCTTACATTGCGTTCGTTGCTGCGAAATGCTTGAGGCCACAATTAGCAACCATCATCATTCAATATGAAGAAAATAAAAAGAAACAAATTGATATGCTGCTGAAATTAGCTAACTACGGATTAGCTATGGAAAAGGCCATCCTTTCCAAAGACATCGAATTGGTCTACATGTGCATTGTAAATATTTTAAATCAAGAAAAGGTGAATTCAAATGGAGAAAGGGAGTTGTCTACCCTCATTGATGTTTTTAACAAAAATGCTCAGGCAGCTAGTTGCTTCTATACTTATTGCAAAAAGACAAAACAGTACAATCTGTTAAAGGAATATTACGAAAAGAGTGGGCAACATTCCAAGGCCGCTTTTGTCACTTTGGATTTGGCCCTTTCGAAAAAAAATTTAGATCAAAAAAAAACCTGGCTGGCATATGCAGCTGGCTTTTTAACCACCGACCAAATGAATAGCCACATAAAATTTGTCCACAAGTCCTTGATGAATAATATCGACTTATTGAATTACCAAAAGGAATTAGAAATTAAATATAATAAAAAATCTGTTATAGGGTATCCGCATAAAATCCAGGGACTATCTTTGATGAGTACAGTAGAGTATACCTTATCCGTTGGGGAATTTTTGGACGCAGATCATATTTTTAAAAAATTTAAAATTACTGAACCGAAATTTTGGAGATGCAAAATACATACACTTGCTAAAAATAAATATTTTGATGAATTGTACAATTTTGCAAATTATCGAGTGTCACCAATAGGAATGGATTATTTCATCGAATGTGCTTATGAGTATGGCTCCCTTCCCCTAACCATCAAACTAATACAAAAAATTAAGGACCTAAATTTGCAACACACATGGTTCACCAAGCTGAACATGCAGAGCGAGGCCGATAGTGTGCTAGAAGAAATCAAGGCGCAAAAAATGACCACCACCTCTTTCCTTCAAACAATTTCGGACGCCATATCGAACATACGCTAGAACACGTCGGGGGGGATAGGGGTTACACGATTGCCGTTTTTCCGCTTGCTAGTGTGGACGTACCGACTGATAACAAAATTAACAGCTTAGAGGAGAAGTTCTTTGCCCGCTCTTCTACCTGCACAACAGTCCACGTCGTTTGGGGCACATATTTGTGTTGATGTGTACTTGCGTGAACACGTCTACATTTGCGCTCTCTTTATTTATTATTTTTTTTTTTGTTCTCGCTGAAGAAACTAATTTTTATGTTTTCCAAATTTTTTTAACTCTTTTTAAAAGGTGCGTCTCCGCATTTGGCGCCTCTCTGCGTTCCCTTCTAACGCGTTCTTCGCAAAAGGAGCGACAAAAATGGACTCGGCACGACCCGTGGGACGAAACCATTTGGATCAAATGTTTTTGACGAGTTTCTTAAATGGGAAAAATAAAAAAAATATATATGGAGTTGCTAGTTGGACGATCGAACCGCAATCGCACACATGAGTAGCATAGGTGCGGAAATAAGCAGTTGTACACAGACAAGGAGATGAATATGGGTACACACAAGAAAATGGTGTACGCACTGACAATAAAACAGGTATGCATGCAACCACGTGGTGTTTTTAAAAGGCAGACAGGGGCTCATCGGGAGGTGGCCCCAACCCGGAATATGCTCAAAAACTTCAAAATATATGAAACCATTTTTGACAGTACATAAATGGGGAAAACGGGTGCGGCAACAAATTTGCAACCATGGGGTCAAACATACTGTCCTTCGTGATGGCAAACGAACTTGACAGTGAGTCGACCATTGGACAGGCGCATTCCCCTGCTGCACCGCGTTTCGCACGCGAAGTGCGCAGACACGAAAAAAGAAAAAAAAAAAAATTCACAAATTAACAAATTTTAACAAATGTTAACAAATTTTTAACTGGAGAAGCTGAAGTTTTTCCCTGAGGATGCTTTTCGACTTAAGGACGGACTGAAAAATATTTTCACAGTCCATTTTGGAAAGGTTAAAATGTCCAATCATGCTATCCAACTCTACATTTGCGTCTTGGTTCCCCGCCCTTAACTTTAAAAGAGTTAAAATTTCCACATAGAGGCTATTTGTGGGATCGGCAAAAAACAAAATTTCACTTATAATAAAAAGAACACTTTTGAATAAATTAATATAAATAAATAAGCTACTTTGGACGTAAGCCATATTATTCAAATTGACAATTTCTTGGACATTATTTTTAAGTTCAATTTGAGCTCCTTTTTTTGAAATACTTTCAAAATGGTATTCCTTTATTTGATACTTTAACGAAACAATGGTTTTCGTTTTTTCCGAAATGTCGTCCTTCAAGTTATGTATTTCGTCTTTGAGCTTTTCGATAAATTCTTTTAAATTTTCTTCTTTAAAATTTTCCAACATGTTGAAATTGGTATCCTTGTCATTTAAGTTACTTATGAAAAGGTCTTCCCTCTCTTTGTAATACCTGCAGCTATCCTTTAGTATTCCATTTTGCATTTGTAAAAATTCCAAGTCAAGCGTGATTTCGTAATTCTCCTTCATGCAGTTGCTTAACTGTTCCCGTATTTCATTCATGCTTGTTATGAGTTGTTCTTTATTTTCTTCCTCCGTTTGTAAATTTTCCTTCACATGTTCATTTTCCTTTTTCAAGAGTTCACACAATTTCTTGTAGTACACATTTGTGGTTTCTTCCTTGCTGAATTCATTTACTAATTCGTCGTGTGTGGATTTGTAAAAATCTAAAGTGGAGCTAATATTTTTGATGTCATTTCTGTAGGTAGCCACTTGGCTTTTCAGTTTGGTTATTTCTTCATTGAGAATATTTATTTCGATTTTATACTTTTCGTTTTCCTTTTTGAGTTGTAAAATTTTGTTGAAGTTTTCAGAATTTTCTTCCACGTACATATCGACACATTCATTTACGGTCTTATTTTGTGCATCCAGTTTTTTTTGTTTCTCCTCCAATTCCTTTTCCAATATGTTGAGTCTACTTTCGCAGAGCATTAAATTACGTTTTGTGCCTTGTGTGTACTTGAGTTCCTTTTTTAAAAATTCACACTTCTCCACCAATTCGTTGTTTTCCCCCTTTAGCAGTTCCACTTGGTCCTCCGCAACTTTCAGTTTGTCATTCAGTGCATCCATTTTTAAATTCATTTCCTCCAGCTTGACTTCGTTTTCATCGTAAAAGTTGTACATCTCCTGAGAGTTCAATTCGGACAGACGCTTCTTCCTGCTTAAGTCGAAGTGGTCGCTTTGTTTGAAGGCCTCTTCGTCCTCAATGAAGCGACTGTTGTTTCCCACTTCGCGGAAGCTCTCTCCCTTTTTTTCCGAACCCTCAACGAAGGAGAAGCGCGCGTTGCAGCTCTTCCTTTTTATAAAGCTTCTAAGCGTGGGCGATAAATTCACATTATTAATATCGAACAAGTTATTTTCATCAATGTTATTGCATAGCAATTTTATTTGGTCTTTCAAAAATTGAATATATCGTTGGTTCTGTTCCAGCATGTCATTTTTATCCTCTACATCTTGCTGGTGCTTAATGATGATATAATCCTTGTTGGTAATTTCCTTGTTTAAATCTTCAATATATTTGTTCATTTTCCAAATTTCTTCATTTTTTTTAATTAACTCTTCATTCTTTTTGCTCATTTCTTCCATGTGTAGGATTTTTTCTTGTTCGATTATTGTTATTCCGTCTTCGTCTAGAAGCTCTGCCGTTTTGTCCCCACTTTTGGTGCTGCTTCTTTTGTTTGTATTACCTACTTGCTTCCCACCGTGATGGGTACTGTCATTGTGATAGAGAAGTCTCTTATGGCAATTGATAATTTCTTCGATCTCTTCATCCTCATTTTCGAAGATGGCCACAATTTTCTCCCTTATGTCTACTATATTGAAATCTTTGTTAAAGCATATGTCTATCATTTGTATGCACTTTGTTTTGTATCTGCCGGTTTCCTCCAACATTTTTTCCTTTTCGATAATGGCATCGTTTAGTTCTATTTCTCTTCTGTTCAGGGCCAAGTCGTTGCTATTAATGATATCCTCCAACTGTTCCTTTTTATCCTTCAATGCGTTAAAATTGTTTTTAAAAATTTCTATCTCTTCGTTCAATATGTTATTATCATTTTCTAATTTCCTGATGATGATGAGCAGCTCCTTTTTATTTATTTCCTCGCACGAATCGCTCGCATGTGCATCCTTTTTCCTGCCATTTCTGCTAGTGATTTTTGTGCTGCTGGAAGTGCCCTGGTGGCTGTCCTTATTTCGTGCATCATCGGGGCGGTCTTCGTCGCCCCCCTCAACCTTTTTAATGAGCATTTCGTTAAACTCCTTCAACTCATTGATGACTTGATTTTTCGATTCGAGATCGCTTTCCAAGTGTTCTATAACTTGGGATTTATCTTCCATTTGGTTTTTCAAGTAGGTATTTTCCTCCGTCAATTCTATTACCCTCCTTTTGTTTCTCACATTTTCATTGTTCAGTTCGTTTAAGTTTTGGGCAGCCTGATCAAGGGACGTATTTAGGTAACTCAAGTCCGTTTTGAGGAATTCGTTCATTTGTTTAGCCTTTGTACTGTGTTCATTCTTTTCCATTAACTGCTCTCTCAAGTTCTTCACCTCGTATTCCTGTTCCTCGATAAATGCTAATTTGTCATTGTAATCTCCATTTAACTTTTCATACAGTTGCTTCAGTTCGTCGTTTTGTGTCTGGAGCAATTCGTTTTTTTCAGACTCTTTTGACAGGAGAATGTTTATATTATCCATCTCTTTGACGCTTTTTAGAAAATCGTTAGACAAGGAATTAAATTTCTTTTTCATCACTTTAAGGCTCTTTCTCAATTCTGCTTTCTCGTTGCACTTTTTACACACCTTTTTAATTTCATTTGTGATGTTGTTAACGACATTGTTAAAGCTGAAATCGAGGACGTTTATCTTTTTACTCAAAGTGTGCCACTCTTCCTTTTTGAGTAAATGGCAAATATCGTCACACACATTTTCGAAATTGGTAAAGTCACTATCGATTGCTCTCAGGATGTACTCCACGTTATCCACCAATGAATCATTCTCATGTTGGAGGGAATGAATATTCTCGCTCATGTACAAAGCACTGTTGGAATTGCTCAAACCGCTGTCCTTCTTCGAGTTTTTCCTCTCCAAAACACTCAATTTTAATGTTCCCCTATTGTTAGATGCGTTCTTTTTTATTATATCAAAAAGGTATTCTTTAATTTGAGAAATTTGCCTAAAGAATTGATTTTCCAAAAATACTTTATTCAATATTTTTCTGTACAAAATTGATTCTTCTAAAATGATGAGGACCTGCTCGTATGAGACATGGTTGTCATTTACAAACTCATTCAGTTTGATAAGGAAGTGCAGGTTGTCTTCAAATATGTGCACTTTGCTTGAAATTTCATCTATAAGCGATTTGTACTCTTTTATAACTTCTTCCTTTTTGCTGTTTTCCACGGTGTACTGAGCCAGTTTATCCTTCAACGACTCGATAACTGCGTTCTTTTCGTTCAATGCATGAAGGTGTTTCTCTTCCAAGTCGTGGGCATCCACCCGGTTCCTTGATTGATCTAGGGACTGGTCTAATGAGCGGCGTTGTTGGGGACCCAATTTACCATTCATTTCTCCTCTTACTTCACTTTCCCTTTCGTTCCCCTCCTCATAATCCAACACTTGCCCTCCAAAGTGCAACTTCCTTTTCGCTTTGGAGGACAACAGGCAGTACATCTGTTCACCCTCCTGTACCTTTACCTCGTACGCCCGTTTAAGCTCAGCGTACCTGTCTTCACCTTGTCTTAGCTTCTCCTCGCTAACCTTCTTTTCCTCGTTCATGTCCTCTATGTTAGAGAGCAATATATCAATGTCTGCTCTCATGTCTCTATTTGCCTCTTGGAGCTCACTGTTCACACTGTGCAGATGTTCATTTTTCTCCTTCAATTTCAGCATTACCTCATGGGCATCCTCCAAATTGTCCTTAAGCTTTTTGATGTCTTCCCCGTCATCTATAATTTTATCAATCGACTTTCTTGTAATATTTAGCTTTTCCTTATTCAGTTGGTTAATTTCTTTTTCGTAGTTGGAGATGATACCATTAAGTTGCTCGATTTTCTTTTCATTTTCGTTATTTTTTTCTTGTAAAATATTTCTCTTATTATCCATCAGGCTCATTTCGTACGAGGTTTCCATCAGCTTCTGTTGCAGTTCTAAAATTGTGTTATTTTTTTCATTGAGTTGTTCCTCCGATTCTTTTAGAGATTTCAAAAAATTCGAGTCATCATTTTTATATTTCTCCAACTCCTCGTCCAGATTTCTTCTATTCATTTGTTCTACCGCCACAAGTTCCTTTAATTTTTCTAACTCAATTTTGTAAATTTCTTTTTCTTTTTTCTCAATTTCGAGAGTTTTTTTGTATATCTCCATGTCTTTCTCCCTATTCATTAAATCGTTTTTCAAATGTTTTATTTTTTTTTTAAATTCCTTAAAGTAGGTCGTATACTCGAGTGAGTCCAAATTTAGGCTTCCATTTTCATTGTCCACATTGTCCATCTCAATTATTCTTCTTAGAGACGTGGAGTTGCTCAAATTGTTTGTCGAGGGTGTGTTTAAAAAACTTTCATTGTTGTTAATGTCTAGTAATTCTACAATGTTGTGATTTTTCAATTTCTCGTATATTTTTTTTAATTTTGTTTCCTTTATTTTTATGTCGTTCTGGGCGCTGTACAGCTTTTCAAACTTCATCATTAGATCATTTTTCAGTTCCTCCATGTGTATCTTCTCGTTGTTTAGTTGTTCCACCCTGGTCGTCAGCTCATTCGTTTGCTTCATCACGTCGTTCTCTTTATTGGAGAGTTCGTTAGCCCTCTTCATCATTTCTTCTCCATTTCTAATCTGCTCGTTTTCCTTATCATGTAGATTTTTTTCCCGCCTCTCTATCTCTTCCATTCGACGTTTCGTGTGGCTCAACTCATCATGCCGTTTGTCCAGTTCATTCATAAGTCCGTTCAGCTCCTTTGCAGAGGCACTTCTCTTCTCGTGCAGCGTGTCCAGCTCCTGCTTAACCATCCTCACTTCGTTTTCTAGCCCGTCTTTTTCGAAAAGAATTTTATTCATTTCCTCTTGCAATCTTAGAATTTCCTTCTCCCTCTCCAAAACAGCATCGTCATCATCGTGACTGCCCCTGCGTTGTTCTTTTCGCTTCATCTGTGCGTTAATAAAATTTTCATAAAGGCTCACCATGACATCTTTGAGGAACACGAAATGGTTCGTCTTCGTCTTGGTGGTAAGTTCGTTCGTCAAGTGTTCAATGTCACTTGCATCCGATTCGACGTAAGTCATAATTACATGGTGCACTACTTTCGCGTCCTCATTGAGGAATTGCATATCCGTCTCATAGCGCTGTATGTTCTTTTCAAGATCTATAATGTAGAGATTTTTTTCTTCTAGTTGTGCTTTGAGGATGATTAAGTCTTTATCCATTTCCTTTATTGCAATTTCGATTAGAGCATATTTCTTATCTTTTTTTTCATTTTCCTCTTCGATTTTTTTTATGTAGCATTTTAAATTGTTTGCTTCTTCTTCGTAATCTTCAATTTTTTTTTCACTGTCGAATTTGAGTTTATTGTAACTTACGAAGGAGTTCTTCAGATCGATCCGTAGTTCATTCAATTTTTGATAATGCTGATTAGTTTGTATTTGGCTTTTTCTTTTTAATTCATTAATAATTTCGTTTTTCTTCAAAATTTGTTCATTGCTTCCTGGAAAGCTTTGTCGTCTCTTCTCTGAAACGCTACTACTACGTTTGCTTCTCGTTTCTGGAGCTTCATACTGCATTGTATTCTCTTCTTCTTCCTTTATGTAACTCTCTAATTTGTTCCTCAAGTCTGTAACTTCATTTTCTTTTTCTTCCAAGGTGCTATGTATCACATTGATTTCTTCCTTAGAGTCTTTTAGGAGATTATTCAGTGTGTTCATTTCGTTGTTCAAATTGGCTAGCTGTAATTCTAGCTCTGCGGTATACTTGCTATTTTTGCTTTTTTCATTTTTTAAAAAATCAATTTGATTCTTCAAATCGTCCAGCATGTCTACATTATCTTTGATTATATTTTCCTTCTTTTCAAGTTCCAGACTTAGGGATTTTTTTACCTCATCTGCCTTATCCTGAAGTTGGGTATTTATTAGCTCCAATTTTTTGATAATAAATTCTTTATCGTTCATTTCTAATTCTTTTAACTTTTCCATTTTGTCTTTTTCGTTTTTTAGCAGTTCTAGTTTTGCCTTCGTTTCGTCCAGCGTATTAAGGGAGACGTTATACTCGTTTAGCAGTTCTTCATATCCATTTTGGAATTTCAAAAACATTTGTTCGTTTTGTATGTCTGCCTGGTTGGTGGGGCCACTTCCATGAACCGTCTCCTCTAGCCTTTTGTTTAAGTCCGTTTTTCGCTTCAGCTCATTTTCGTAAGCATACTTCAAATTGTTAATTATTTCCTCCTTGCCATCCAATCGCATCTTTAGGCTGTCCATGGCGTCTTTGTAATTATTTACTTCCTCTTCCTTTTCGCTCAATCGGGTGAGAAGTCCGTTAAGAAGGTTGCCCCGGTCATTGTCACGTATTTCGCTGCGGTGTTCGGTTGGTAGTCCCCTCTGCGGAGCACCCCACTCGTCCCCCTTCCTGCAGTCCTCTGTCAAAATGTTGTTAATGTCTTTTTTGATTAATACTATGAACTCTTCGAGTTCTTTATTTTTCAGAAAATCCCTATTCAGCGTCTCAACAGCATTTACGTGCTTGCTCAGGGCGATCAACTCATCTACTGTGAGGAAAACACTGCGCGATTGTCTCTCCTTTGAGGTCATTTTTTCTGAGCCTCTGACCACACTTTTGGAGACTTCTCCGTCCTGTTCATCATTTTGGCTTCTGTTCTCTGCTAATTTGAATTCAATTTTCTTTTCTTTCACAAAATGTTTCAAGTCGTTGTACTCCTTAAGCAAAGCGTCGTACTTGTCGCTGAGCTCGTCATTGCGTTTTTGATAATTCTCACAATGGTTCTCCAACTCGGAATTTTTTTTTTCAATGGCGAGAATAATTGCCTCATATTCATTTATGACGTGTCCGTTGTATTGCTCTCTATTATTTTGAGGCGTATCTCTATCAAGTTTCCCCTGCTCATCGCCCAAAATGTGTGCGCTTCGTCGTGCGAGTTGCTCATGTTTGAACTTTTCCTGATCGTATTGTTTCTTTTCGTTCAACTGGATCGTCAAGTCCTTAATTTCTTTGTCCATTTTGGTAATGACCTCTTTGAGGGTGTCATTTTCAGCAGCCACTTTATCACTGGTTGTTAGTAACTTGGAATTGTTCCTCACCAGTTCTTCATACTCGTCAAGTAAGATATGAATTTTTTGTAAATTTCTTTCCGTGCTGTCTTCATCCTGTTTGGACAAATCATCACTGGTGAAATGTTTCAAATTTAGCACCTTCTCTATCCTCATTTGAGTCTCCTGATGGTGTTTATTTATCTCATTCTGTGTATTCAGATCAGACATCAACTTTTCGTTTTTAGAAACTTCCTCGTTAAGTCTGCTAATCAAATTGCCATTCAGTCTGGTAAACTTTTCAACATTGTCCGCATTTTCATTCATCACTTGCGTCACTTTTTTCTTCAACTCAAGTTCATCACTTTGGAGATTCTTATTCTGTGTGGAGTAGTTAAAGATCTCCTTGCTTAATTCCTCAATAAGATTCTTTTGATTATCAGCCAGGAGACATTTCTTGTGGTAATCTTCCTTCAATTTTATAATACACTTGTAGAATTTTTGCAGTTCAAATCTGTTAATGATTATATCGTCTTCTCGTGTATTACTCGTATCATTGTAGGCAGTGAAAAAGTTTACAATTATTTTGGAGCTAACACTCTTGTTATCATCCTCCAGGGTGTTCTGACTTGGGGTACTTATTCTGGAGTAGCCACCCTCCTTGAAATTTTCGAAATTTTCTTCAATAATCATTAAATTCGTGGACTTAATTTTTTTCAGTTCCGATTTGAAGTATTCATAATTGAAGTTCTTTTCGCTGAAAATTTCTATGAACCCTTTGATTTTGTCATTTAAGTAGTACAGGTAATTTTTGGCTCTCTTATTTGTTTCCTCGTATTGGCTCCTTTTATTAAGCATGATACTATACTGATCGATTTTGTTCTTCAAATTATATATCTCCAATTTCAAATGTTCGTTTTCTTCCTTTTCAAGTTTGTTTTCTTTCATCAAAATTTCGTAATTCCTCAAACTCTTTATGTCTTCAATTTTTAGGTCACTTCCCCGTTTATCTGCCTCAGTAATCATTTTTATTAACACCTTATTGTCGCTAAATATGTTTTCGTTGAGTTGCTCCAATTCATTAATCTTTTCCTTAAGGGCACGATTTTCGTCTTCCAAGTGACTGATTTCATTCTTCCGATTATGTATAATGACTCCCTTTTGAAGGTGTTCCCCGACCTGACTTAATCGCTCTGTGTCTTGGCGCTCCGTGTCCTGGCTCTTCGTGTGATCATACTGGTTAAAGATACTCTTTTTGGACTCCTTTCCATACGACTCACCTCCCGGGCTGTGCCCTCTAGATAAGGGATGGTTGGAATGCCTACTATGAGAGAAATTCTTACCCACTGCGCTTTGATTCGAACGGACAAGGGACACGGGCAGGTTATTCAACTCCTCAGACACTTTAAGATATTTCATGTAGAGATCAAATTTTTCCTTGTCTAGATCTACTAACTTGATGTTGTACTGCTCATTCTGTTTAACCAACTGGTTGACATTTTCGATCAGTGAATTATTCTGTTCATTCAATTTTTCATTACCCTTTCTGAGTTCATTGATTTCCTTGTGCAGAAGGGATTCTACTTTGAGCTTCTCATCATGCATTCTCTTTAATTCTTCATACTTGTTTAGTAAATTTTCCTTCTCCTTTAAAAGTTCCGCGATAATGTCATCATAATTTTTTAGTCTCGTAAGTAGTGCACTATCTTGATTTTTCTCCATCTCGTATTTCCCCTGCTTCTCTTTCTCAAAGGTGTTATAAAGATCGTTATACTTATTTTGAAATGTGCCATATTTCGTTTTCAAATTTTCTACAACATTTTTTAGCTCTTCTTTTTCTACAATGTGTGCCTTAATATCATCGTTTAAATTCTTCACAATTTCATCCAACTCTTTCAATTTGCAGTCCTTCTTGAATAGGTCATCTGTGAAGGCGAGAAATTCCTTCTCCAATTTTAGGCTCTTCGAATACTCCACTTCGATTTGTTGTTGGTCCTCTTTCCTCTTCTGCACCAATCCTTCAATTTGTTCATTTTTTTTATCCAATTCAGTTTCCATTTTGTAGTACTCCTCGTCGCACTCCTTTTGTTTATCCAATATGTGTATGATTTCTTTTTGCAAGCTATCAATTATGTCTTCATAGCTATCTGCCTTCTTTTTCAGATATACATTTTTATTCTTAACAATGTTTAATTCGTTGTTCATTGTTTCTACCTCAAATTTGAGGAACTTGTTTTCTGCCACAAACATGTAATCATTTTGCGCTCCATCCTTTTCTCCTCCATACTCACTTTTTTTCTTCATTTCGTTTATGCTATTTTGCAGGTTCATCAAACTGTTTATGTGTTGATTTAGATATTTATTTTCTTCTTTCAGCTTTTCATTTTCGCATTTTAGGAGTAGCATATTTTTTTTTTTCATATGGTCATTTTTCCCTTGACTTTTTCTTATGTCTGCGCTGAGCTTTTTGTAATTGACCGAGAGTGAGTCTGCTTCTTCGCTGAAGGGGCTATACATTCGGCTGTCGTGGTTCCTTTGCCTGTTCATGTTTAAGTGGTCTTCTTCATTTTGTCTTAGCCTTTTTTTTAAATCACTTATGAGATCTCTATCTTCCTTGAGTTTTTCTTTAAAGTTGTTGTATTTCCTCTCTGCGTTTTCCAGCTTGGACTCGAAGACCCTTTTCTTAAAAATCAGAAGACGCACGCATTTGAGAAATTCGCTCATGTAACTGGATATTTCGTTCGTGTCGGAAGGGTTAAGGTTGGCAAGTTCGCTCTGGAGTGAATGAATCAAGGGGGAGTCCTCCACGTGGGCGCTATGTTGTACGCTATGAAGTACGTCCTCACTAGGGGTGATACCCAGGTAATCGCCCTCACCTGCTCCGCCCCCGCTCAACTCCTTCTCGATGTACTTCTTGTAATAAATAATGCGCGAGCACATTTTGTAGTACACGCCTAATGTCCGATTGTATTCGCTAATTATGGCATTTTTCTCAGACTCCTTGTTGTCGTTCTCTGCCTTCTTCATATCCAAATCGTTTAGAAGTTCCGCCTTCTCCTCCACCTCCTGTTTGAAAAAATCGACCTGTTTCTGCAGAACTTCGTTTCGAACCATTAACTTATTCTTGACATCCGTCAGCTCGTAGAGCTCCATCGATAGCTCTTTGCACTCATCACTTCGAAGGGCGAGGAGTTCGTTGGCTGCGCATAGTTCCGAGTTCAGTTGGTTGGTGTCTTTCTCAAAATTTTTTATTTTGTCATTATAGGTAACTATTTCATTGTTCATTTTTCTAATAATATCATCTCTCCTTTCGATTATTCTTTGCATCTCCACGTTTTTCCTTTCATCGATGGAGGACCTGTCTTTCAATTTTCTCAACTCCTGTTTCATGGCGTCATTTTCTTCCTTCAAAAAGAGGCTATATTTTTTAAGTTCGATCATTTTGTTCATATTATTTCTTTGACTATTGGCTAGGGTTGGCCCCATATTTCCGTTATTGTTAAAAATGCACATGGTGGAATTGACAAGGTCATTAAAATCTAGCTCTTCCTGCTCCTTCTCTTTGGCAATGCCGAGGTCCTCCTCAGTGAATATCTTATGCTGCAATTCCGACCTTTCCATTTCATTCAGTTTGACATCACCAAAAACAGCTTTCCTCAAATTGTTCTCCAATTCTTCTATAATAGAATCTTTGCTCTTTTTAATGTCATTAAGGATGAATATTTCTTCATTGAGCTGTTCCTTTTCGTCTTTCAGTTTGAGGAGCAATGATTCGTGTTCGTGTATTTTTGTTTCACACACTTTAACATCCTCACTTAGTGCCACAATATTCTTTTCCTTTTCTTCATTGATAAGTTTTTCTTTCTTCAAATCGATACACAATTTTTCATTGTCCTTGATGAGCTCATCAATTTTATTCTCCAAATCCTGCACTAGCATTTTCATACTTGTGTTTTTATCCAAAAGAACTTTGTACTCCAGCATTTGCAACTCCAAGTCTGAAACCATTTTCAGTTGATTTTTCACAGAATCCTGTATTTCTTTATTTTTAATTTTTAAGTGATCAATTTCATCCACGTATTTTTTCTTCTCTAATTCGTGGTCCAATTTTAGCATATTAACTTCTTCCTCTTTCCTAATAGCGTACTTGTGTGCTTCCTTAATTTCTTGAATAAAGTTTTGCTCATTTTCTTTCAAAATATCATTAAACCGTTTTTCTTCATCAAGAATTTCCCTCAGTTTTTCTATCTCTTTCTCATAGGCGTACTTTTCCTGCTTCAAACTATCTACTGTTCCTTTTAGTTTTTCAATTTCATCGTCCAAATTGTGAATAACCTTATTGATGCTCGCTATGTCTTCTTTCAGGTAATCATTTTCCTTTTTGAGGAAATCAATTTGTTTTTCCTGTTCTGATTCGATTTCCCTAAGTTTTTCCTTCAGATGAATTTTGGCGCCTTCTAAATTTTTTACTTCATTGGTAAGGAAGGTACATTTCATATGTACTTCATTATATTCGACATTTTTTTCTTCCAACTCTTTTACAAGTGTGTGTATTTCTTGGTTCTTTTTTTTTACGTCTTCAGACAGGATAAGACAATCTTCCACCCGCTCATCTCTCTCCAGCAGGATGCTCTTCATGTTGCTTTCGTACTGTTCATACAGTTCGTTATTTTCGTTCATCTTCATTTTTAGTTTGTTCTCCAGATCCTTAATTCGGTTGACCATGTCGTTTTTCTCTTCTTCATATTTGAGATTAAATTCGCTCAATGCATCCACCGTTTTGACAATATCGTCCACGGTGTCTACGAATTTATCCCTATGATGCAGCTGAAAATTTAGTATATGCTTTTTATAGCTGGGATCATTATATTCGAACCCTTCATATAGTTCATTGAATTTTTTCACTTCACTCATTTCGAAGCTTTCGCATAATTCGATAAAGGTTTTGTTGAACCCTTGAACTCTTTGCTTCAAATTTTTGTAAAAGTATTCCTTCCTTTTTAGTGACTCGTTTATGCTATAGAGGAAGTAATCTCTATTTAGGATTTGTTCCTTTAACAGGTTTAGATTAACTTCCTTTTCGCTGATTTCCTTCCTCAGCTTAACAGTGGCGTCGTTAATTTTGTTCAACTCATTATGGGCTTCCTTCAAATTTATTTCATATTTGTAGGTAGCTGACTTTAGGTAGAACATTTCATTCTCGGTGTTTTTCTGTATTAACTCCAACTCATCAATTTTGGACAGTCTCAATTTTAACTCAGTCTGCATGCTCTCCAATTTTTTTCTATACAATTCGATGTCTTCCTTATACTTGGCATTTAAATTATCTAGGGATACATTATCCTTCGTGAGGATGTCATTTTTTTCCTTTTCCTCCTTGTATTTTATTTCCATTTTTTTTAAGTGTTCATCAAATTCTTTAATTTTACTTTCCTTCTTTTTCATGTATTCTACTAACTCGTTACATTCGTTAAAAATTTCCTGTGTCTTCTTTTCGTGCATCTTCATTTCGTCCTGTGTTTCGCTATATTTTTCAAATAGGAGGTTGTAATTTTTTTCTATATTAACTAGCTTTTCCGTCCTTTCTTTAATCTGCGTAATGAGCGAATCGTGTTCGTTCAGCAGGTTTTCATACTTTATATTGGTGCCATTCAGCTCCTTCTCATTCTCAATCAATTTTTTTTGCATGATTAATGTTTCTTTCACTTTCGAATCGTATTTTCTTCTAATGTAGTTAAGATCGTTAATCATTTTGGAAGTTTGAAATAAGGAAAAATGTTTCGTCTTTCTCTTCTTTTTTTTCTTCTCGTCCTCTGATACATTTATTACTCTCGAGTCGGTGCTGTTTGGGATGGAGTAAAAGGTATCTAGACCTTTGGCGTTTCTCGGCTGAATTGCCAAGGAGTGCAGATCGGCACTGCCTGTATCTTTCAGGAAAAACATGGCGCCGTCTTCCGCCTCCTTACACGCCTTCTTATACTTGTTCACATTAATCTTAAAGTTATTACAAATAGAGAATCTGTGCATTCGTATTTTCATGTATCTCTTGGCGTACTTTCTCTCGTTCCTATCTGTGCGGTGTGTTGTTCTCACCGGGGACTCTCTTTCTCCTACCACGTTTTCATTTTCTGAGACTTTAGGAACTTTGGTCGACCTACTGTAAAAGCTATGCTTACCGTCGACACTGGTGTTGTTGAGACTCTTTTTGGATTTCCCCACAGAAGACACCATCAACTGCGTGTTTGTGTTGTCGTTATCTGAGAGGAGATCCTCATGGGAATTATTTTCAGAAGAAGATATAAAAAAAGAGTTGTTAATATCATTTTTTTTGTTTTCCTTGTCAATTCTTTTTACACTTATTACTAAATCTTTCATAGTGCCCATCATTTTGTTAAATGTTCTTTTGAGCTCTTTCCCTTTTCGTTTATTTTGTCTCAGTAATAATTTATATTTTAGCTTTTCCTTTTTTTCATACTCCAGATAAAACAGCGACTTTTCTGCATCTGCTTTCAAGTACATACAATCGTTTTTAAGTTTCACATTTTCGCTAGACACGGTTTGAAGTTTCTCAAAAATCTCTTCATTTTCCTTAATGAGGAGTAAATTTTCGTCTGTCAGCTTGGTTACTCTTAACCCTAGTTGTTCTCTGTCCTCATAGGTGTTCTTCTTAGGTTGCATATATTTGAAGGCGCTTTTATATATTGTTCCATTTGTTTCTTCCTTGTCTTCGTTCACAGAATGCTGATCACTTCGCTCATCGTTCTGAGTCGTCGATTTTTCATTCACATACGAGTTGTCATCTACCACTAGGGCTGCGCTGATAAGGCGGTTATTACTTGGGCTAGCTTTCTCCTTCCCACCAGGATGGTTCATACTTAAGGAGGCTTCTTTCTTTAGGAAGATTACTTCGTTCCTCAGATGATCATTTTCGTGTTGTAGTTCATTCAGCCGCTCCACGAGCTTCACATTCTCATAGTCCATTTTGTCCTTTTCCTGCTTTAACCGTCCATTATACTCGTGAAAGATAGCCATTTCAGCTTCTTTCTTTTGCAGTTTCTCACCCAATTCAGCTACTTTCTGTTGGTAATATTTTATATTATCATGAAAATTTTGAATTCTAAATTCGGACAATTCTAGGATGACTTGATTATCTTTGCTTTTTTTTTCTGCTTGATTTATCTTTTCGGTGAGCTCTTCTATGATGTAATTTTTCTCCTTCACCTCCAGTTCCAGTTTGGAGCAGATATCCTTCAAATCAAAGCACAGGTCTTTAATTTTGGAGGACTCGCTTTCTTTGTATTCCGTTTTTCTGTTCTTCATCAGTTCGTCGTTAAGTTTATCAATCGTTTTTTCAAGTTCCATATTTCTGCTCTCCAATTCTATAATTTTTATATCCTTATCTTTAATATCATTTTTGATTAACTTCATATGATCAATGTCCATGGTTACAGTGTTCCTTCTACCTTTTGCTCTATTATCATTTTCCAATTCGGTCCCCTTGGAATGATCCCTTTCCATGTCTGCATTTATCCCATTAACCAGAATCATCAGGTTTCTGTTTTTTTCCTGCAAGTCTTTGACTAACTCTTCTAAATTTTTATACTCTGTATTGAGAAGACAATACTTCTCATATGAATGTTCTATATAAGTGATGTAATTGTCAATATACTTGGTGAGAATTTCTTTATCCTTGTTCTGTGTCGAGATATGGCTTTTCAAATTATTAATTTCTTTTTTCTGATTGAAAATAATATTATCATACCTTTCGTTGAGTAAACAATTCTCGTTCTTTTCGTGAAGAAATTTACTATATAGCTCGTCGTACTCCGAGTTGAGAAGCATATATTTTTTCTCCTGTTTATGGAGATCTATTTGGTACGTCAAGTTAATTTTACTTATACAATCTTTGAGGTAAAGACAGTACATCTCATCTGAAATGAATTTTTTCAAAAAGTGGGTATTTTCCTTCTCCAGGGAGTAAATTAATTTATCTTTTTCGAGTAGACTCCTCTGATCATACACAATAATTTTGTGTAAAGCATTGTAGAGCACTGATATTTTTAAAAGATACTTTTTACACGTTGAATCGTCTAAATTATTTTCCGCATTAAAAATATTTTGCATTATAAAACTGTTTTCATTATTTTTGTAATAATCTACTTCTTCCTTTAGGAAATATATTTTCTTTTCAATGGCATTGTTTGTTTTTTTTAATTGTTCATATTTTTTATTTAACACTTTCAATTCTTCGTTCCTTTTTTCCATTTCGGCATAGCCATCATTGATCTGCTTCTCCTTTAAAGCTGCATCCCTCTCTTCCTCTTCCTTCCGTGTTAGGATATTTTCTAAATCTCTAATCTTCCTATCCTTTTCTTGATTCATTTGGCTCTCCTCCTTGTACAGCTTCTCAATTATTTCCGCCTTTTTCAATTCCTCTTCCTTGAACAGGATTTCGTCCTTTAAACAATTTAACATAATTACGTTTTTGTCCAGCTCCTCCTGTAGCCTCTTTATGTCCTTTACAGACTCCTCCTTGTAGTTATTGAACTCCAATTGCAACATTTTTTTCTCGTCCGCTATCTCACTCAACAGAGTGGAAGTTTTCAGCGAAACTAAATTCATTTTTTCCGTGTCTTCATGGTGTCTCCTTTTTAGTTCTCCATTTTCCACGAGTGCATTTTTCAGCTCCGTTTTGAGCTTAACAACTTCGTTTACGATGTTATTGTGTTCCATTTTGTTCTCATTTTTCGGGGCAATGCGAGCGTCATGGTTTGGGCCTGCTGCTACAGCTCCCACAGCTGCTCTTGGGTGGGGCTCCTGTCGCGATCAGCGCGGCCGTGCCGACGCAACTACGGTTAGCAGGTTTTGTGTAAGAGACAACTGTCTCACTTATGATGTCTTCTGTCCCACTCCTCGCGCGGCAGTTCGTCGTGTCCTTTTCCCCCTTAATAATTTACAACAGGGAAAAGGATTCGATGGGGGTGTTTACTGGGACGAGGGGGATATTGTTACACTTGTTTTCACGCTCTGGTCGTGTGTTTCTGGGCATGGTTTGGTCCCCTCTCGGAACGCACCTGAGTATCGATGTGTATGTGGTAACGTACCGATATGCACATGCGTCCTGGAGTGGCGGATGGAGCGCCTTCGTCAGTCATACGAATCACATCCTTGGCAACGCTGTCCAAGGCATGTCCGCGCGTGTGCACCAGCAAAAAATAGTACACACATGCACAAACCCTTTTAACAAACGAATTGTTGCATCCCGCTACCGTCCCAATCTGCTCGTCTGCGTTTTACACTTACGAATGAATTGGGCAGCGCGGACGGAGGTAAGTACATACATACATGTGCATGGCAATACGTGTTTGTATTTAAAAACAATTTTCAAACTCCTGGCGTGCCGGAATACACATCACGGAAATGATGTATGCCTTGGGTGTATATAACTTCGAACAGGTATTCCCCGCTCAGGGTAAAATTTTTAACTTTTACACTTAGGCGCAGAACTCACGCAATTCGAAGGTATATAATAATGTTATATGTACAAACTTGCTTGGGGTAGTCTGCTTCAGCACATTGCATTCTTACTCACAAATGCTAGCGCTTTTTTTCTGTTAAAAAGAAATACTCCAAACAGGAATATTTTTTCGCCGGGCATTACGTTCGTAAACTTGCGGGGAAATTATTCCTCACATGAGTTGCGTTGGCAAGCACCTATTCACAGGTACATACCTTATTGTGCATTTTGTGTACACGATACTATGGGGAGAAATTTTCCGCGCAAATTTCGCGTAGGGCCTAACACATAAACATACACATGCGCACATGGGACTAAAGTCACTAATTTTGCGCTTTTCAAATGTAGCATTTTTTTTTATCTCACAAATGAGAATCAAATTAATGAACGCATTTTTACATTCATTTTAAACATGCTTTTTTACGATATTTTTTTTTTTTTTTTTTTTTCAGGCATACATGCTTTATTTGTAACTACATATCGTTATAATTTTAAAAAAAAAGAAAAATGGAAAATTAGAGGAACTGCGATCTTCGGACATTCCCCTTTCCCAATTGTTTTTTTTTTTTTTTTTTCCCCCATTAGCGCATCCTTACACATGTAAAAATTGTCAAAATGGGCAAGGTCGAATTCGTAAGAAGGTATAAGTCCCAATTGTTTTTTTTTTTTTTTTGTTCTTTGTGAACATATGATAATGATGCATGAAGGAGTTTTTATATATTCACATGTATGAAATTATGGTAACGGTTTACAAATACTGATTCGTTCTTTCCCACTCTAAACATTTTAAAACCTCCTACCTACTGGCGTACACCCCTCGCGTTCATTTCCTGTGCATACTGTGTAAATCCCTGTTGTATGCTTCTTCCCTTTTTTACTTAATTTTACCGATAGGGGATAATCCTTTTTTTAGCTGGACACACTGCCTCCCTTTTGTTCGTTGGACAAAGTGGGCAATTATTCACCACCAGAAATGTGCACTACAGTCGTAAAGTTGCAACGCGTCCAAGGCAGGGAGACTACCACAGTGTGTTCAGCCATAACGGTGTATACATTTTTTTTAATTTCATTTTGCCGGTTTACATATGGGGTATATTAATCTTCACATATGCCCCTCGTTCAATTCCTTGCAATTTTATGTTTAACGTTTAACGTTTTTTTTTTTTCTCCTTTTTGCACACTGTGTTATGTGGCAGCAAGGAGCGTTTACAAAATGAGGTGGAAAAGAAGCTACGATAGGGGCACGGTGTTTACGTTTTCCCCAGGTGCTTCATCTCACCAACATCACGTGTTTAAGGAGGAAACGTGAAAAGAAAAATTCTCAAATTTCGGGTGCATGCCCGGAGGTGTAATGCAGAGAAAGGGCAGCAACGTGGATTACGAAAACTTTCTGTTTGACTAGCACCCTTTTATGTGAGCACTGGACACAGGGTCTTCGCCAAATGCGTAGTGCTTATACATCTGCCGGATTATCCCATATCTGCGTGGAAGCAGTGGAAGACGGGCAGGACATCGCCCATTTCGCATGCCCACCCGCTGATGTGTTAAGCAATCAGTTTAAAATAAAAAAATATACACACCATTGTGGTGAACCAGAACGAGGGTAAACTTTACATAATAAAATTGTAAATTGAAAAGGTCTCAAAAGTAGATGAGAGCTGTTTTAAACTAAAAATTCGTTGGGGGATAAAAAAAAAAAATTAAAAAAAAAAAAAACAAAACATACACATATCTGTAATTTTGATTTAAAAAGGCACAATGTGAGTAGACAGGGGGCAGGCGCACATACTCTCGTATACAAACGCCTCCATTCATTCGTGTTCATGTACGTTTGTATGTTCACGTATAAACACCTTTTCTTTTTTTTTTCTTTTTTTTTTTTATTGACAGGTGCTTAGTGCGCCCCTCCTGCGGGTCGAGCAGTACACAGACACGCCAAGCTTTTTAAAAAATTGTTTCCATTTGGTGCAAACAGAGGGGAGAACAGCAACAAACAAAAAAGGGGGTAAATAATACAGAGGGGGGTTGGGAATAGACGCGTCAAAATGGCGTAAAAGCATCGCCGCAGAAATCTAGCTGCCAAAAATGTCAAAGAGGAAAAGTTTGCTCAAGTTGTGCTCAAAAATGTTAAACTTCTTCATTTCACCGACGTTCATTATGTGCGACGTGTCCACGGCTTCCTTGAAATTGTTAAGGGTCATTTCGTTCGTTTTTACAAAATCGGGGCTTTCGTTATCGCCGTTTTGTTCGGAGTGGGAAGGAAAATCCTTGCCAAACACTTCACTCATATTTTTTACAACGCTGTTGTTATTGTCTCCGTCGGGCGAGTGTCCCTTCGGGTAGCTGCGTTGATCCATTTTTCCCAATGAACCATTTGAGCCATTTTTGTCATTTTCATTTTGGGAATTTCCCCCATCCGCCTTCCTATCAGGGTCGTAAGGTTTATGCTCATTCACAACTTTCAGTATTTTGTTATTTTTAACATTGGGGTCTTTCGTGTATTTCTTCTTTATCTTTTTGATTTCCTTTTGGACGTTTTTCCTGATAATTTCGATTTTCTCATTGTCTGCGGTGGCTGTATGTCCATGCTTCTCCCCTTCACCAGTTGTTCCCTTTTTGTTAAGTACATCTTCACTGCTAGAATTTTTGAGTTCTTCAGTGGAGATTCCTTCATTGGCCTGTTTCTCTTCATGTCGGTCATTTTTGCTGCTTCCTTCTCCAGGTGTGGACTTTTTCCCCGCCTTGTCCTTTTCTGCTCCGCTTGAAGTGTTGTCCGATTTGGTGGCCTTTGTTACAGCAGGCACTTTGCCCGAGTAATCCCTCGTGTTATTTGGGTCAATAATTTTCTTTATTTCCTCTCCAGAGAGAGTTTCTTTATCGAGGAGTGCAAAGGCTAAATTGTCCAACTCCTTTCTGTGTCTTCTCAGTATTTCTTCGGATAAGCTTTTGCCCTTCTCTACGAGCGCCTTCACCTCCACTTCAATGGTGGAAATAGTTTTAGCTGATAATCGATTTGAAGAGTATCCATCTCCCATTCTTTTCTTGTAATTCAGTGGGCCCAGTTTGTCTGACATTCCCCACTCTGTTACCATTTTGTAAGCAATTTCGGTAGCTCTAGAAATATCACTAGAAGCACCACTACTCGTTTCAGATTTTCCAAAAACGATTTCTTCTGCAGTTCTTCCACCCATACAAACGGCCAATTTTGCTTCCATTTGGCTTTTAAAATAGTTGTGTCTATCATCCACTGGTATTTGTTCTACGTACCCAAGTGCATTGCCTCTTGAGATAATGGTAGCCTTATGTATTGGGTCCGTTTGGGGTTGAAGAAAGTACGCCACGATTGCATGTCCCGCTTCATGATAAGCAGTAATTCTTCTCTGATGGTCAGATTGTCTTAAAGATTTTCTCTCTGGACCCATGGAAACTTTATCTCTAGCTTCAAACAATTCTCCAATGGTAACAACACTCTTTTTATTTCTTGTAGCCAGGATGGTTGCTTCATTTACCACATTTTCTAAATCTGCCCCTGAAAATCCAGGAGTCAATCTAGCCATTTTTTCAATATCTTCTGCTTTTAAATCGCTTTTAATCTTTTTGATATAAATTTCTAAGATCCTTTTTCTTCCATTAACATCAGGTAGGGGGACATAAACGATTCGATCGAATCTTCCAGGTCGCAGTAGCGCGCTATCTAAAGTATCAATTCGATTGGTTGCACCTATAACCATAATATGGACAGTGTTGCTGAACCCATCCATTTCTACTAACAACTGGTTAAGCGTTTGATCATGTTCTCTCTGACCAGCACCATTCACAGAACCAGAACTTCTCTTGCCTCCTATGGCATCAATTTCATCAATAAAAACAATCGATGGAGCAACCGATCTTGCGTGTGCAAATAATTGTCTTATTCTTTTTGCTCCTTGCCCTACATATATCTCGATAAACTCTGGCCCAGACGTATATATATATGGGACATTTGCTTCTGTGGCTACTGCCCTAGCTAGCATGGTTTTTCCTGACCCTGGAGGACCAACAAGAAGAACTCCCTTAGGCATTCTTGCGCCCATTTCTTGGTACTTTTCTCTATTCCTTATAAAATCAACAACTTCCAGCAGTTCCAACTTTGATTCATCAATTCCTGCGATTTCTTCAAATCGGATAGGCCTAAAATGGGGAGAGGAATTTTTCTGGGGCAAATCTTTTACAGACACCTTTCCATTTTCACCTTTTTTATTTCTGTCATTTCCATAGGGTTTCAAGGATGATGAATTGTTGCTCGTGTTAAAATTGGAGTTGTTAAAATTATCTTTGTAAAATAATTTATACGTTATTATGGTCATGAAGAATGGCCAAATGGCAAAGCCAAAACATATGCCCACAAAAAATATCATAAAATAATTCCATTTTTTATTTCTCTTTTTGTTAAAAAAGTTTTCGTAATATTTGTATTTCTTATTATCATTGTTCGATTTTTTGGATTTCCTCTCGTTCATTCCTTGCGCCCCTGTATTATCTAGAAGTGCTGAATTTTCCTCATCGCAGTTTTTGTCTGAATCTGTTGACACGAAGCTTTCATTTTCATACCTGGCATTCATAATTCTCTTCACCACTTTTTGGTAATGCTTAAACATGTGTTTCGTCTACAGTGTGCGAAGGCGGAGCAAATAAAATGGCGCGCGAGTCGAATAAATGTTCAGACATACGCCTACATGCGCAGTTGCTTAAGTTGACTGGCTTTCACACACGTGTGCATCTAGTGTGGCTTCCTGCTTGGATGGTGGATGGAGGTGAGGGCATATAACTTCTCTCCCAAAACTGACAACACGTTACAGCAGGTGAAAAGAGGTGATAGCACCTGGGAGTGGCTAACACTCGTCGTGTGTCCCAACCTGACGCGCGCTCGTTTGGCTGCAAAATTAAGCCCGTTCGCCAATTGCTGCTTTGACCTTATCCAAATGTCCCTATTGTTTTTTTTTTTTTTTTTTGCGCTTTAAACGTGGGGCATTAGGTTGGCGCGATGCACATACACAAGATATACCTGCACAGAGGGGACGCTCCCTGGGGATGCAAAAAATGAGAGGTTCAGAACGGTTTACTCTTATTCCCATCAAAAAAGTGTAGCCCTGTATTCAAGCATACAAGAACGCTGAAACCATTTCGTTATTTACTCGGATGTAAGGCTGAGGAGCTTCAAAATTGGTGCCATTATTTTTTGTGACAATCAGCTTGTTCCGCTTGTAACTGTGTCAAAGTTGCGCTATACAAAAATGTCATGTATTGTGAAACATTACATTTTTTTTCTCTCTTTTCCTTGTGCTGTTCGTCAATTAACTTGGTCGGGATTTTTTTAATTTAACCCACATGGTGTTATTACGAGTAATTAAGTGACAACACTCTCTTTTTTTTTTTTTTTTTTTTTTTTTTTACACCACTGAGCAGTATGTAATATTATATGTACCGTTTCAAGCGAGGAGTCTCCCTTGCGCAAAAGGGCCAAATGGGCTTACGTTGCACACCCTACCATGTTATGCTACGCTCGAACTGAACAAGGGAGATAAAACCTGTGTAGCCATAAGCTAAAGCAGCACGCTCATTGTATAGCCCTACAATCTTTACAAAATGTATGACACATTGTATGCGTAACTTTTTATCTCCCATTGAATTATTCAAATTTAGTGCAACTGCACTCGGGTAAAGGTTTACGTAAGAAGCCTTTTTTTTTTTTTTTTTCCTAATTAACCTCTTCTCTGCAACACGTGTTGAATTTTTATCAAGTGATAGTTTTTTTTTTTTTGTGGGACCGCTACATTTGGCATAGCACAATTGTGTTCTACGTTGTGAGTAAGGTCGTGGCCATTGCCTGTTCCCGCGTCATTTTTGCTCCTACATAGTTGGGCATATTACACGTACAAATGAGGCGCTCCTCCCATTACACGGTGATGCTTGCCGATGTGCATATGATGAGGACACAACTCTACTGTGCACATATCATTGTAGGTATCCCCCACAACGCAGTTCGCTCAAACGTTTAATCTTACTTTTGCACACCTTGCGTGTGTAATAGTTGCGTTAGCTTTTTTTTTTTTTTTTTTTTTTTTTTTTTTTTTTTTTCCCTTTTTTGAGGCAAGCCCTTTGAGCCAAATGAATCGGTGGAAACCTTTGTCCAGAGTGAGGCACTTTTCCGGTTTGGCCAAACTAATCAATGTGCGAGAGCACCAAGATGAGATAATCAGTTGCATAGAAAAAGTGAGGGTGGTCAACCCACTGGTGCACTGTATTACGAACAGAGTAACAACAGAAAAGGTAGCAAACAGTTTGTTAGCGTTTGGTTCTTCCCCAGCAATGATTGACAACCCAAAGGAAGTGGAACAATTTGCACAAATATCCTCCTGTACCTACTTCAACCTAGGTTTGCACACAAGTCAAGTGGATAATATAAATGTGCTAGAGAAAATGAGACAGGAAAAAAAAAAGGAAGACTTCACTTTGATAATTGATCCAATAGCCGTAGGGGCAACACCGTACAGGACAAATCTGATCAAAGACATCATTGTTAAATGTAAGCCAAATGTCATTAAAGGAAATGTAGCTGAAATATTTTATTTAGATAAAGGAGAATTTTGCGGGAAAGGGGTAGATAGTAATAGTGGTTCAGGAGTTTCCCAAAGTGATATAATTGCTAGTGCAAGGAATGTTGCTTTGAAATATAACTGTGCAGTTGTCGTCACGTCAAAAGCCGATATCATTGTTAGCCCCTGCTCAAAATATGTAGCCCAAATTAATTGTGATTTAAAAATTTTGACAAAAATTACTGGCTCAGGGTGTTCAGTTGGTGCACTGTGCGCTGCAGCAACTTCCGTTATTCCTCAGAACCCTTTTATAGCATGCACCGCTGCCACACTAATTTACAAACTGGCCGCTTTTAAGGCTTATGAAACGGAGACCGGCCCAGGTACACTCAGCCATAAAATAATTGACGATATTTATTTTTATTCCAACAACCCGCATTTCATGAATTTTCAAATTGTGGACATGTATGCGGTGAGCTGATTTGGGCCAGTTCATTTTTTGGGCAGCTAATATGCGCGCCATCCCAACACCGCTTTTTCTGCTCCATTCATGTGTGTTCACCGCCATCCGCCGAGTTCGCTGTTCCCGACCGCCACTTTGCTCGTTATTTATAAGCAACAGAGACAAATAAACAATTAACAAGTTCGTTAAAACGAAATGGTTTAAGCCAAATGATTTTGGGTCATTTCCCTCGCTGGAACGAAAAAAAAAAAAAAAAAAGAGGACTGCATCGGAGGTGCCAAGGTGGCGTGCAATGTGATGCAAGTAAAAATGTGCCCATAAAAAGGGCTAATGGGAAGGGTTCAATTGCCTCTCCACATCGCGTGTGAGTGTCTCTCCGCGGTCACCCCGGTGCGGGCGAATTCTCCAGAATGAAGCTTTTGCGCAACTTGGAGTCCTCCCCCATGAGGGAGAAGATCAGGTTGTTGGCCCGCATGGCGTCGTTCACAGTCACCCTAATCAGCTTGCGCACGCTCGGATCCATGGTGGTGCTCCACAGTTGGTCCGCCATCATCTCCCCAAGCCCCTTAAACCGTTGTATTTCGTACCGTTTGGAGAAGGTAAAAAATGCGTTACCACTGAGGTGGGAAGTGCCAATCGCTGTGTTCTCACTATGCGCGGCATTCGTGTCGTCCGTGTCGAGACCCCCCTTTTGCGTCACCCCGTCGGCGCTGTTGTATCCAAAGTTCAAATTGTCCAAACTGGTCAAACCGCTACCATGGTCGTCATTTGGGATTTTTGCCCCACGGGCAAGCCCCCCCTTCGCCAATTCAACTTTCTTCTGTTCAGAGTGAGAAGACCTGTCCTTCTCCAACAATCCCAGTAGGTCATTTAGCTCCTCATCTGAGTATGTATGGATAATGGTCTTAGAATTCTTCGTACTCACGTTGAACTGTTTCATTACTATGTTCTTCACATTGTTGTCAAAAAATCGATTGTACGTGACTTTGTATAAAGGTGGACAGGCAACAAAGACATTTCCATTTTGTATAATATTTTTCTGAAATCTATATAGAAAGGTTAGGAGCAAGATGCGTATATGCTCTCCATCAACGTCGGCGTCCGTCATGATGATAATTTTTCCATACCTGAGCGGGGTATCCAAAAGTGTATTTTTGTCTTTATTCAACATTGTGTTGTTAATTTGTACATATTCTTTCTTGGAACTTTTTAAATCATATTTTTTTTTGAGATTTTTTTTTTTATTATTGAGCATATTTTTCCCCTTGGTCATTTTGTTGTTGTCACAACTGACACTTAACCCTATGGCCGTTATTAGCGATTTCAATTCTGAGTTTTCAAATATCCTTTTATTATTTTTAATTTTTTCCACGTTAAGTATTTTTCCCTTAAGGGGGAGAATCGCCTGTATTTCTCTATTCCTCGCTTGCTTAGCACTTCCTGCAGCACTGTCTCCCTCGACGATGAAAATTTCATTACGATTTATGTCGTCACTTATGCAGTCAACTAATTTTCCTGGTAATATGGTAGAATAATATTGATTATTTTTAGATCTGATTAAATCTCTGGCCGCCTTGGCTTCCTCATCACTTGCCTTAGCCTGTAATGCCTTCAAATAAATTGTGTTTAGCAAATTGGGTTCGAAATCGAAAATTTCAGACAATTTCTCAAAAATGGCACTTTCCAAAATGGGTTTTAAAAAATGGGAACCGAGTTTAGTTTTTGTCTGACCCTCAAATTCTGGGTTATTCATTTTGATAGACAATATGGCTGTCATTCCTTCCCTTATATATTCTCCTGGTATGTTAACAAAATTTTTTGTGGCTTCGTTTTTTTTTATATTATAATTTACACACCTGCTGATGGCATACTTCATGGCATCTACGTGGGTCCCTCCATCGGGCGTATTTACATTATTCACAAAGCTGATGATGTTCTCATGGTACTGACCTTGCGTCCATTTCAGTCTTAAATCGATATGAACTTTTTTCTGGTGACAACAGATGCTAATAATTTTATTACTGTCTTTGAACAGGCTTGCTTTATTTTTCGTTAAGCTTTCCATATACTCGTTTAACCCCCCCTCGTGCTTGATCACTTCGTAGGGGTAGAAATCCATATTGTTGTGCTCCTCTACGGCGTCCACATCACCCGTAGTTCTCTCTCCCCCCGCGTCCACCGCATCCGCTTCGCTTCCCTTGGGCAAATGTACTGATGCCGCAACTTTCTTAGCTGCCCTTTCATCGTAAAAGTAGAAACTAAGCTTGTCGTTCAGGTAGGCCAGTTGGTGGATCCTATTTTTAATCATTTCCGCGTTATGTCTGATGGTGTTCTTAAATATGCTGTGGTCAGGCTTGTAGTGTATCTGTGTTCCTCTCTTGTTAACTGGGCAATCCCGAACACTTAGCGGGCTTACTACTTTTCCCTTTTCCAATTCGATACTGTGAATTTTACCCCCTCTAAAAACCTTCACTTTCATGAAGCTGCTCAGGGCGTTGGCAACGGACAGGCCAACTCCGTGCAGGCCGGAAGAGAATCTGTACATTTGGGATGCACTTTTCTGGGATGCTTCCTTTGGATTTTTTTTGGGCGAATTTTTTTCGTCCAACTTTTCCACCACTTTTACCTTGCCCTTCTGCTCCCCTTTTGCGCCCTGTTTGTCTTCCCCGACTTGAGCGCTTAGACCTCCCAAGGAGGCTCCTCCCGCCAAATCGGCAGCAGCTTCGTCATCGACAAACTTCGCCCCGGAATGCAAAACAGTTAGAACAGTTTCTAGAGCGGACTTCTTTGTCTTTTCGTGAACGTCACAAGGTATACCCCTTCCATTATCTTCTATTGTGACGCTGTCATCTTCGTGAATAACAATTTTAATTGCATTGCACTCAAAGTTGTTATATTCATCTACCGAGTTGTCAATAATTTCAAACAATATTTGGTGTAGCCCTTTCACATCTGTATTTCCAATGTACATACCAGGTCTCTTCCTCACTGCTTCTAGTCCTTCCAAAATGACAATGTCCTTTGCGTCATAGTCTTTGCAGCGGAAGGGGTGACGGCTTTTGTGCTCCTCTCGTCTTTTCCCTTTTATTTTATCCACCCCCATCGTGTTTGTAAGAAAGTAGTATTGTTTTCTCTTCCTCACATTTTTCCTATGAGATGATTTTCTTTTTCGTGAAAATGCTTCCACGCCACTGTGTGGTGGTGGACAGGGCAGTCTCCCCCTCACCTTCCTTATGAGGAATTTTTTCCATCCTCTCAAACGGCCAGTCGTGGAGACGGTAGCGCGGCATGTTTTCCCCTTTGTACGAGTCAGTAGGTGTTCCACAAGCAGGGCAAAAATGGGAAGGGACTTGGCCAGCCGCATGTTCATCATAAGTTATTTCCTACGCTATGGGGCGCGTTTGATTCCAGCCTGTTGGGGGAAGTAGCATGAATTACCTCCTCCAAGCCCCCTTTTTTCAAACATCAGAGTGCAACTTTTCCTTTTATTTTTTATATAACCCTTTTATTTCTCCTACTCCTTTTATTATTTTATTCTTTGTTTTTTTTTTTCTCCTTGTTTGTTTTTTTTTTCGGCTGTCCCCCCTTTCCTGATTCACTCCCATGATTGGCATTTCATTTCAGCACAAAAAATGGCTAAGCCAAGAGTCAGCCTGGAGGAGGGGGTGTAACAAAGCAAGGAGGCGAAGTAACAGCTACACATTGAGTAACATTAGCGGAATCTTCAATTATATTTGCTTGAAAAAAAAAAAAAAAAGAAGGTATGCATTAATGCGACAGGGCTAAACCCCTGTGTGCCACGTGAAACGCCTCATTTTTAGGAAAAGCTAGCTGTGGAGGTTATCACCGTTCACCTTACCTTGGGGCACCAGAATTCCCCTGTAACGCACCTACACCTTTACAACTTCGCTCTAGAATAATCACAAACAAAAGGGTAGAAAACGACCTATTCTTATTACCCCTCCTTCCATTTAACTGGAACATAAATGAACTAAAAAAGGGACAACTCCATTTAGTCCTGCAAAGTTGGACTCCGAGAAAAAAAAAAAAAAAAGTCTACCCCAATGTCGGCGCTGTATCGCTGTCGCGCCTATCTTATTAAAATCCACAACAGAGAAAAAAAAAATAGAAGACAAAATAGACGGAGGGGTACAGCATTCTTTTCCATTTCCTTCTTTTTTAGCATTAATGCGCATAATCATCTTGGACGGGCTGTCACCTGTGTAATGTGGCACCAAAAAATGATAACACTATTCAGACTGCTCTTATCCTTTCCTCTCCCCAACAGCAATTTACCGTCATAATGAAACTTAATCATGTTCACCAACTTTGAACGTTCCACGGGGCACTCATTTTATACCTGCTCGTGAATGTCGCAAGAGGTGTACGTACAGGTTCACCTCCATAGTGTGCACGTGTGTATATACGCCTCCGCGCCTTTTCTCCTATTTCTGATGAGCGTTTTGCATATGCCCTGCAATTTTTGCTCCGTCTACGTGCTGCCGGTGAGGGGGATTACGCATATTGGTAGGATAGACCTAAAACCAAATACTTACCATCGCATTGATGAGCAAATACCTTCACGCAGTCACGCCTACATGAATGCTGCCCTGTTTAACCCGCACGCCCACATCGCAACACATGGCCACAATGGTACCCCTTTTTTTTTTCCTAATTTTGTCCATTTGTGTGCAGAGCATGGATCCAACAAAAAAGGGGAATGAAAATTTCCCGCAGAGAAATCAGACACATGAAGAAAACAACTTCGACTCAGCATTCCCATCATTCAACATACACTACAATGTTGAACCAAAGGACTGGAGGCACATAGAGTTGGTAGAAAAGGAGAAAAAAGACTTCCTGCTTGGCATTAAAAACGAAATAAGATTAATGCAAGAAGATAAAAACAAAATTAATTATGTGCTGAATGTTCAGAAGCAGCAATTGGAAGAGTTGCAATTTTTGCTAAATCGCATGAAGCACATGAAAAGGAAGAGTGTTACGAGAGAGGGGGAAGAGCAACTCAAGGTCGATCTCCTTCCCATGCCGCGGTACCTAAGGACTGGCACATTATTAAGCGTTGACACCCCTGGTGAAGAAAATATACTGAGGGCCTTTAACGAACTACACATTTACAACTTAGACAAGTCAAGGTTAACAAACCGGGGGAGCTTTTACCACAGTTTGGCAGAGCAGTGGGTTGCCTAATGCCAGGGAAAGGGGGACTCAAAATGATTCCAAGACGGGCGCCGCGGGGTGCGTCTCATAAGGCTTTTTTTTTACCCATGTGATTAAATTGTGCTGAGGCAAAAAAAAAAAAAAAAAAAATGCCTCAATCTGCGGTTACGCAGTTGGCCTCTGTCTTTTCACTTTGTCCCATTTTGTCGCGCACTTTTTTTTTCAAATGTTTGCAAAAAACACGCTCCATCGCAGATCAGTGCACTGCTGTTCTGTGCTTGCATGCGTTTTGGCGAGGCCACCCCTTCAAGAATCTCACCAAGGGAGGCGCTAAACGTTTAATCAAATCAAACTTAAAATCGTTTCCAAATCGAAACGACGAAAGTTGCGAACTGTGTAGTGTGTTTTAATTAGTGCAAAAAAAGAAAAATGAAACAAAAAAATAGCACAACAGGAATGAGGGGCAACAGATCGGAAAAAAAAAAAAAAAAAGGAAAAAAAACGAAAAAATTCAAAAGGATTCCCCCATGGGTATGCACATAAACTGCTGTACACGAATTAGCGATAACATTTAACAAAGGTATAAAAAAAAAAAAAAAAAATAATGATAAGACGGCGAAGCAGCAACGCAAAGGAACAGGCAATCATCCGCTAAACTGTGGATGCTATCACGTGTGTGCCTTCCCATTGCGCAAAATGCCTCATCCAATTTGTTACACTAAAAAATGGAAGGGTTTACCTGAATGCGGTCTCCCCCAAATGGTACACACGTATATACGGAAAAGTCAAATTAGCTTTTGGTGCTTGAACGCATTAACGAAAAGCCATTAGCTATATCTGACCCTTACATATAAATACAAAACGATCTGAAGAACCATGATCTCGTACAGTACGAACAGAGCAATTAGCAGTACGTACGTGGTTGTAAAGTGAAAAACGACTGTAAAAATTATAATCACCACAAAAGTTATAATTAAAAAAATTAAATTAATGGAAAATATATATCTGAAATGAAGAATAGGGATGCTGTTGTCATTTCCTTCGTTGTTCAAAATGGATGCAATCGTTCTTAACAACTCATCCTGCAAGTACTCCTTATTGGCGTTGTTGTTAGCAACCCAATTAAAGTCCTTCTCGTCTTCTATTTTTGCAATCCCAGTTTTGCAAATGGTACATAATAATGGGTCTAACTTGTTCAATCCTAAAATCTTCGACCGCAGGGAACTCAACATTTGTGTTTTCCTCCAGCTGTACCAGCATCTTTTATGGACACAAGCTGTGCATACAGAACAACACGATATTAAATTGCTATTTTCCAAATTCTCCTCTAAACATATGAAACAAAATAATTCTGCTTTTTCGTCTACTCCTTTATTCCTTTTGGTTTTGTAGTGTTTTTTTTGCTTTACTTTTGTGTCACCAGAGAGTCTAAAATAATTATCGCTTCCTCCCATTTAGCCGAACTGTGAGTACTAGTTTAAAAAAAAAAAAGGCTTTTCCTGTGGAGCGCCCGCATGGGGGTTAGCGCATTAATATAAAGATTTCTCTCGCATAAACGTATGCACCGTGTTGGTGATTACTCTTTGGGGGGATGAACCCTGCATGGGTACATATATAATGCACATACGCTGGCCACTGCAGAAGTAGAAAGGACTGGCAAGGGAACATAATGCTACATATTCTAGTACCCCTATTTTCTGCGCCTACAAATGTGCTTGTTCTTATTCACAACGTTTCTTCGCAAGTAGGGGTTATTATGTGGCTAAGTTGTAAAGGTAGCGAAGGGTTTCTTTCTGCGCTTCGAAAAGGGAGGTTGCTCATCGTGGAGCACAAATACATATATTGATGCTTACAAATTGAAAAAAAAATCCGCGTAAAAGTGAGCAACTGCTAATATACGCTCAGTAGTTGTTATTGGCATGCCTCAGCCGCAGTTATACAAATTGACCAGTTGAAATTGGTCTCCCTGAAAAAAATACCTCTCAGAGCAAACTTGCGCAAATTAAATAATATAAAAAAATAAAAAAAAAAAAAAAAAAAAAAAAAAAAAAAATTCTCCAACTTGCACGCTCTGCATT